TTTTGAGGTTAATGGTTATAATCTGGTGAGGAAGGTAATCATTTGTGCTATAAAATAAATTTGCTACGAATGAAGATTTTATTAACAAGATAGTGATGTAAGGTATTACATATAGTTGGAAAATTTCAGCGTCGATGGCTCCCCTAAATGGCGGCCAAAACACTTCCTTTTTCAACGGCGTCAGCAAAGTTTCGTGAACAACAGCTACACTGTTGCTTCCAGTGTCATCAAATTGTATTACACAATACATCCTGAATACTTTCACGTGAAAAACAGACTGTATAGAAATACCACTCAAACACTCAACATTTTAACATTCTTAACAAATCCAATGGCACAGACGCCGTTCACAAACAACACCCATTCGAACATGGACGATGGACAATGAACATGAACGGGAACGCACCATGCACGATGCAAGCTTGACGCTGAACCACAGAACGGACCGCTGAATGGCACTAACGCCACTAACAGCAGTCGCGAGATGGTCGAGAGTCGCATACACAATCTCTTCGCGTAATTACCTACTTGATCGCCATTGGCCATCTGGTCGGTAAGTGAGAATTGTCTTTGGCGCTAAATTTAAACATTGAAAATCAAGGGAAGCCTATGGAATAAAATACATTTTTATCATACATTTATACAGTTATTTGGATAAATTAATTAATTTATTTTATAACTTCGTTGTCCTATACATACATGATAATGATAATGATAATAATACCCAAAAAAATATGAAGACCATAGATTGACGTCTATACGACGTCAAACAGTGGCTGTCCATAAGACGTCACATTAATGACGTCCGCATGACGTCATAATTTGATCAAAAGACGTATGAGACCAAAGAAGACCTTAGATAGCGGTCCTATAGACGTCACATTCGTCAGTCTGGCTACCTGGGACGGTGTCTTTCGTGCTCGAGTCGAGAGATAATATCACATAACCATATACAGGGTGTTTCAAAAAAACGTGACCCCCCTGACTAGGGTAGGTAGAACACTGCAAAATAAGTTGGCTTTACTCAGTAAAAAAATTTCGTTACGGCATCCGTTATAAAGATACAAGGTGTTGAAAAAATGATTTTTTTACACATTTTTTAAGATTATGTCGAAACTACTGGCAACATTGTGATGAAATTTTGTATGGATGTTTCTTGGAATCTGACACATCGCATGCCGATGTTTCTATATCTGACTTTCATAGAGGGCGCTAGTTACACGGTTCGTACCGAGTAGTTTTGAACATAACTTTTTTGAGGTTAGATTTTTCAATCCAAATTTGATGTGAACTTGAACATCATTCAATTTCACACCAAAAAGGTACTCTTGGTAAAACTCGATACTGTGTTCCGTTTTCGAAATATTTCGATTTGAAAATGATCAAGTGATAACTGTTGCTGGTATAAAGCTATGTAATAGAGCGAGTATTATGAAAAATTATCACCTATTTATTGAAAACCGAAAACAGCAATACATTTCTGATGCTAAACTTATTGATATAACAATGAATCACAAGAATAACATCGAAACAGATTTGACTGAGAACATGGATTACACAGTTTTGTTGTATCTTGAGCAGAAAGTCTAAGCTACATAGGTAAATTCACGTCAAGAGTTGTGAGACATAATTGAACATCACTTAAATGACCTAACACCTGATCCTCAACTGTTTAGAAGAATAATACATTCTTAAGAAAAGAATATAGAATCGTGTATTCGTCGAAACGTAGGACATTTTGAACACTTATACTCTAACTGATTCAATATTTCATGTTTCTTGTCAAATATCTCTTAATTTTCTACTTATGATTCTTTGTTCCATCAATAACTTCAGCACAAGAATGATCCTATTGTTTTTGAATCTGAATAAATAGGTAATTGAACTCAATAAAATTCATTTTATACCAGCATCAATACTACTCCAATATTTTCAAATCAAAATATTCCGAAAACGGAACATATATTATCGAGTTTCACCAAGAGTTCCTTTTTGGTGTAAAATTGAATGAGGTTTAAGTTCATATCATATTTGGATTGGGAAATCTAACCTCAAAAAAGTTATGTTCTAAACTACTCGGTACGAACCGTGTAACTAGCGCCCTCGATGAGAGTCAGATATAAAAACAAATTCATGCGATGTGTCAGATTTCAAGAAACATCCGTACAAAATGTCATCACAATGTTTCCAGTAGTTTCGACATAATCGTGAAAAATGTGTAAAAAAGTAATTTTTTCAACACCTTGTATCATGGAAACGGATGCCGTTAAGACATTTTTTCACTGAGCAAACCCAACTTATTTTGCAGTGATCTACCTACCCTAGCAAGGGGGTCAGGTTTTTTTGAAACACCCTGTATAATTCTTGAAAAAATTTAATTACCTGATCTGGAGAAATTGTCACCGAAAGGAGACAGAAATCCAATAAACCCAAAAGAAGAAGAAGAAGAAGAAGAAGTTCGACATTCGAGAATAGGCCCCCAGATGTTGACCCTCCTATAGGTCGTGACTCAGCTACTCGCTTGGCTTTCTGACAAGAGGCTTTGATCATTTCACCATCCAACCCTATTTCCCCAAATAAAGAGACCGGTCAGTTTTCATATAAAATAAATATTTATTGATTAAATGAAGAAATCATGAATAAATGCTGCCACATGGCAGGTTAGCAAAGAAAAAAAAAAACAACACTTGAAAAAACAGTACTTACATTATAACGTCTAGCAGGGTGTTGACCAGCAGGCTTGAAGTTGGACGGCGAACATTTTCATTTGATGATCACTAAAATGACTTGTGTCGATAATGAATGATTGCCTCATTGATTCGGGTACTATCTATATTCGGAATCGATGCTAGGTTCGCAATTTTCCACAATGGGAACGGTCGTTACCTTTCGATACCGCTTACCTAGGTATTATCGCCGCGGTAAGCGATTTCTTTGCAAATTATAAAGGAAATGATGTCTATGAACTCCGCTGGCCTGATCGAACTACAATGTACTGAATGTTTTAATTTGGAAAAGTTAATTAATGATAAAAGATCTTGAAACGAACGAGAGTTTGAGTGGTGTTAATTCATAGGCATTTATACTTCTTGACAATATGGTTTCTTTCACGAGTACAACGATTCTATTGTGTCTACGATACCGTCGAAATCTCTTGACAGTGGGGAAGATTAGAGAGAGAGAGAGACAAATATACTTTATTGTCTAAAAAAACAGAATTTCTTATTGACGAAGCATAAAATGAAAATTTAATAAAAGTGTATAACATAACATAAACATATACAACTAGATTAATAATATAGAATAAAGAATAAACTTATTGAGAGTGTAAAGGTACAATAACAGTACACATTAGAAATTGAAGTGAACAATTGTCATAGCAGATCAATAATGCATACTATTTGAAATAGTATAATATGTTGAGGTCATAACATAGTTTCATTGTAAAATTCCTCAATATTATAGTAGGCTCTTTTCATGAGGGCATCATTCACCAGTTTATGGTTATAAAACTTTTTACTTTCAAATAAGAAAGAAAATGTTGTCAAACTAGACTTTGGAATGGGTAGAGCAATTCTCCTCTCTGTTATTTGTCGGGTCACGTGATTTGTTTGTAATGAAGTCTCAGCCATATACTTTTTGTGAATCAGACATGCCGTTTCCAATATGAATAAACTTGTCAGAGTGAGAATTCCTAAGTTTGAAAACAGTGGTCTGCATGACTCTCGGATACCTACCTTGTCTAAGTACATTTTAGCTCGTTTCTGCAGTACAAACACTGAATGAAAAAGTCATTGACTACAATATTCCCAGAAAGCTATTGCATATCTCATATGAGATTCAATGAGTGAGTGGTAGACCATTTTTGCCGTACATGAACTCAATTCATTAGTGACAATTCTGAGAGCGTAACATCCGGATGCCAATTTTTTAGTTAAAGCAGCAACATTTTCTCATCTAAAGATATTCCTAGGAATTTTGTATATTTTTTGTTTTCTAGAATTTTTCCGTTTAAACTTAAATTGTTGCAGTCAAATCTAAAGCCCATTATATCTGTTTTTTGTGATTAAAACACAGATAATCAGCTTCGCATCATTGTTGAACCGTTCCCAAGTCTCTAGCAATATTATAATGATTATATTCACTATTGAAAATGCGGCAAGAGTACCACGATTGTCTTGTGTCTTTAATATCTTCGAAGTCACTCGACATTGTGGAAGATTTTAATCTCGATTGAAAATTCGGCTAGAGTACAACGATTCTCTTGTGTCTTCAACATCGTCTAAATCTCTTGTCAGTGGGGAAGATTTGAACTGCTCGATTCCCGGAGAGTATCCGCTCTATTTCGACGAAATATATAAGTAAATTTGGTTTCTTTCGCGACTACAACGATTCTATTGTGTCTTCAATATCGTCGAAATCTCTTGACAGTGGAGAAGATCATATTCACTATTGAAAATGCGGCAAGAGTACAACGATTGTCTTGTTTCTTTAATATCGTCGAAGTCACTCGTCAGTGGGGAATATTTGAATCACGATTGAAAATTCGGCTAGAGTACAACGGTTCTCTTGTGTCTTCAACATCGTCAAAATCTCTTGTCAGTGGGGAAGATTTGAACTGCTCGATTACTGGAGAGTATCCGTTCTATTTCAACGAAATACGTAAGTGAATTTGGTTATTTTCGCGAATACAACGATTCTATTATGTCTTCAATATCGTGGAAATCTCTTGACAGTGGAGAAGATTATATTCACTATTGTCTTGTTGTCTTGTTTTTGATATTGTCGAATTCACTGTCAGTGGGAAAAATTTGAATCACGATTGAAAATTCGTCTCGAGTACAACGATTCTCTTGTGTCTTCAACACATCCCTAGTCTTTAATATTGTCAAAATCATTTGTCGGTGCGGAAAATGATTTATTCCGATGGGTTTTACTTCATCTTGAAAAAAATACTCCGTATTTCACTGCAATGACTAAACAACGAACTTCCGTTCCAGAATCGACTAGCGACATCGTAGAAGGCAGGTACGGAGAAGACAGAGCTGAAAAAATAATCTACACCGTCCACACGACCCCCACAAACTCGATAGGCGGCTCTGCTCTGTGTATATTCACCATGGCCAGCATACAGGTAGGTTCGCGATCGAAATTTCGAAACATTCAAAATTTTTAAATATCTTATTCGGCTGGAAAGTGGATTTTTTTTAAAAATTCAAGCATTTAGAGATTTCAAGCCGATAATTTGTTTATACTGATGCTCTCCGTCTCGATAAAACCTTCATATTCTAATTCTTTTGACTTATCTTATGTGTCACAAATCAAATATCATGTATCCAAAAACTCAACTTTTCTAATCATGATTCAAAATGAAAAATTTACTCGAACTGCTTATATTTCAACAAAAATAGCATTGCATCACTGAATGATTCACTTGAGTGTATCATTCCTGTTAGGTATACAGTTCAAAATTATTTATTCATCCACAAAATCTGTCTCGAGGAATTCAATGACTCATAAAATTGGTATATGATTATTCCCAATATACCTGGTTCTTAGGATATCAGGTTATGTGCTATTTTTAGTATATATATATCAATTGATCAGTGGTTTTAAGGTTTTTGTATACAAGCTACCGGTCGAAACCATTCGTATTTGTCATTGTGATCAGTCACGTGACACTAAGGATCGGTCGGTCAGGCCGGTCGGCAACCAAAAACTTCTTCAATGAGACACATTACAGAGAATCATATTCTTTTCTTAAAAATTCTTTTTTATGTCACTTACCGATGAATCAATTCAGTCTTATCACATTTTGATCAAAAATTCATTTTTTTCCAAATGGAACCCCAATGCATGTCTCTAGAACATACATTATTTTTTTTTAAATTGCATTTCCTCGTTGGACCCAGCACTGGATCCAACGCCCCATAAGTCGAAACTTGTGCGGGGTTAGGAAAGCATACATTTACAAACATCCATGGCCTAACTGGGATTCGAACCCATGCCTCGGTGGGAGTCCCCATACGAACTCAGCGCTTTCGCGCTCTCGACCACCGGGCCGACATACATTAATTAAAAAGATGACATCATTTTTGTAATTCGGTGAAGTAACAAATTGTATACATTGGAAAATCAAAAATTAGTTCATGAATTTTCTTGTAGTTTGAATAATTTTTCAACTAAATAAGCTGTGAAATACAACATTTCTGAATCTTGTTAACTTATTCTGTAATGTGCGACTGATTGTGAATAGCCTTAACCACATTCCATTTATCGACGAGGTAAATGAAGAAACAACTTTTTTTGCAAAAAAATACATTTGACATAAAGATCACAACTGTTTCGACCTGTTGGACTTGAATATGTGAAAATATACAGGCTGGTCGATTTTAAGCAACAAAGTTGTGGCATTTCCAGAAAAACCGGAAGTCCGCCATATTGGATTGTAATGTGATCAAATCAGAAATGGTTGTTTATATAACTATACCAAATTTCAGTAAAATCCCTTCACGACTGCAGGAGTTACATCGGTGGCCCCATACCCTGTGTCACTCGGTATACGGTGTCGATCTATAGTGTGAATAATCTTTGAGAAATGTCAATACGTGTTATCGCCACCAAGACATCAATACGAAAAACCTGAAATACAAATCCCCCTTCATACAGGACCAATGAACTCAATATAAACACCTGGGAGGGAGACTGCCGTTCTCTCGAATAGCAGTGTCAGGGGCAGCTGCAACAAAGATAGCTTGTGTTACCGTAGCCTTTCTCTTTCACATTCGTGTTGTTTAATGGCGGATTGGTGTATAAGTTTTCTTTTATCCAATAATTGGAGTACTTGAGATTTTTTTTTACCTAAACAGGCAAAAAAAGTTAAGACAGAACTTCATTGTTTTTTGCTATGTGAAATACACGTGAAATATCGCTAAAGTTGGCGTGTTTTGTTTCTTCAAAAGAACTGAATTTGTTGTTGTGAATTGATTGTTGTGGAAAAGGTTTGTGATTTCGAATTAATGAACAATGGTTATCTATATTGTGTTGCCTTTGGATGCAAAACAAGCAAGACAGACATAAATTGTCCTTCACGAGTGAGTTGAAAATTGTTCAGATCGATTCTTAGGAAAACTATAGTACCTAATATATTTTCAGGATGTGTATGTGGATGTTCATAACTTGAATTCTAAGGACGATGTTTTTCATATGGGCATTGATTTGCCTCTACAACTTCCAGCTCCCAAGTTTCAAAGTTTATTAATAATGAAACCCTCAAACTGTTCCATTCGAGAAGGACTATTCTATTGCAAAGAAAAGTGAAAACACAGAAACCAAAAGTAAAAAGGAGAATGACAATCTTGATGAGTTACTAAAAAACATTTTGAAGGTTAAAACTACAAGTTCAAATGTTTAAACTCAAGAGCTACAACATATTGCCTTTTCAGGTTTGCCTTTGGAGTTTCTTCTCCAGAAAGGAAAAAATGGAGTGTACATTCTGGGCAATACAGATATTCATCTTGATGAAACAATTCATCCAAACATTGTTCTTTTATCCACCTTTCATTCACCTTTCAATGGTAAAATGTTCATGGAAAAATAGGCACTCTTGAAAATTTGGCTCAAAATAGACCTAAGGTATTCAATACCATTCAAGGACCTCTTTTCAAATTTTTTCTATCGTTTTTCTTTGTCTTCTGATAGTGCTGAGACATAGAGCCCCGCTCACCCTGTACAATATATTGTGACATTTGTAAAATTTCAATTTTTAATTCATTCAACTCCCTATTCCTGTAAGAATATAAATGAAAATTCACTTTTGAGTCAATAAAAAAATCAATAATTTTTGAATTATGATTGATTGCAACATTATCCTTTTTCCTAAATGAACATTTATATTTAATCACGTATAGTCTTAGATAAAAGTAAAGAACGAAAAAGTATTTCAACATAAGATAGGAAGAGATAGGTATCCGTAACCACTGCGGGTTGCCTGAACAATATTTTTGCCTCACTCGTCGTTCACAGAGGATCCCTTCCAGTTGTTTACATCGATTTCAATGTACAGGACGTGTTCGGCGGCGCTTTCAAGCACCAGGAGAGCATCAACTCGAACTGGCTGCCTCTCTCCGAGAGCGTCGTCCCGAATCCCAGACCGGGCGAATGCGTGCCCGACAGCCGCGTGCTAGCCGACAGGAACGTCAACTTCATCAAGACGCACCCGATGATGGAGGAGGCCGTGGGGGCCATGCACGGCAGGCCTGTCTTGGTCAGGGTCAGTCTGCATTACAGGTTCACTGCGGTGGCGGTGGACGGTCAGGTTAGGACGATCGATGATGAGACGTACGATGTGGTTTATATCGGCACAGGTGAGTTTTCATATCTTCAGGAACTTATACCACAGATCATAGTGGAAGGAGAAGATGGTGTGCTTACGCGCATATTATGTGACGTCATCTGGGATACCAATATCAGCTGCTAGTCACAGACAGATACCGTTGCCATGGGCGTGCGCAATGAATTCAATCATATTTATTGAAATTTCTATAAGTTTCTCGATCTGTTTAGAAATAATTCAATTTATATGAACAGGTTCCTATTCCTTCGATTTTACTATTTCATTGATTCTGGAAATTGTGATCTTGAGGTAATTCGCAATCGCTAATAGCAAATACATTCGAATTATCATGCATTGGCAATCCCATCTGAATGATACACTACTGTGTCGATTCTGACAGATTAAAATTCAGCAGTTAACGACGTTGACGTTGCTTCTGCTCCGACATCGACAACAGGAGTATCAATTTTTGCCGTTTAGTTATTCAAATCTTTGCTGCAATTTATATTTTGTGAGAAATTGAGAGTTTAGAATTCATTTTCAATTATTTCTGACTTGATATTCGGAAGATGTTCTGTAGGAATGGCATCTTGTTTCAAATATTTGTGATTTTTTGGAGGTGTGTAATTCAAGAACCGTACTTTCGCACTTGTTTGGAAACATTTTGCATGGAAATGTTTTGAAGAAATACGTGCTGTAATATGAATGTGATGATAATATGATAGGTGAATACTTTGGAATGTGGATATAAGGAATATAAGGTAGGTACCATTATTTGAGTTTATATTCTGTCGGCAGCAAGCTCCCATCGTTTCATTAGGTCTCCATTCTTGGAAAAGCAGAAAAATTCAATATCTGTGCCTTTTGTATGTTAGTTGGAGTTTCCATGACCAGAAACGAAACGAGTAGGCATTTCGAAATTATTTCATTCAATTTTAGTACTTATATAATATCTGAAGTGCGAGACATCAATCACGAAAACAGATAATAATATCAATGACAGTTATATCCCAGCTGACGTCATGCGCAGAACAAGACGAGTTTGAGCTTCCTGTTGAGCACACCATCTTCTTCTTCCACTATGCCACAGATTAACAAACCTTACAGATGAGACACTCCACCCCTTCTGTTTGATGTACCGACACATGTGATTCGTGATCTCGTCCCTTTAAACTTTGCGCGTCTCGGTTGCCGGTTCTCAAAAATTCAGGTTGAAGTCACGGAATTATTCGTGATGCAACGTTGCCATATCAACGAATATCTTGATATCAGGGATTTACTTCATGAGAAATTCCTAAAGCTTACATTGAATTGATATCATGAAGTGGTTCAAATGTGTTTATTGATTGGCTCAGGCAGATTTAATATTACCTGACTTAGATCTGCACAAAATAATTGATATTAGGAACTGTAAAATTGTTACTTCAGAATGAAATTATTGTGGGGAATGAATTTTGAACTAATATAATATGCAGATAGTGCCTTGTAATTAGTTTATAAATATTTTTCCACAATATGAATCAATTCATTGGAAATATTCAACATCATATATATTTGATTCTCAAGTTTATTTTACAAAATTCGTGAAATAATACAATATGTAAGAAATATTTGAGAGGAATTAATTGAACACATTGGAGACTTGACAGGAGTGAGCTTTATTCATTCATTCATCTTCACTGGTATAAAGTAAAAGTAAATAACAGAAAGACTATCTGAATTTTTTTATTGTAAATACAATAAATTAACAGCGTTTTCATGCATACAAAATTGAATAAGTGAAAAACATCACAATTTTGGAATTAGGATGTTCATAAAAATAAATCGAGGTCAATGCATATTAATACATTTTTGGGCACCCAACTTCCGCATATTGTTTTTTTTTTCTTGATGAAAAAACTAATATAGGGGTGGTCCTTTTCGATGGATAACCCTGTACATGTACAGTGTACATACATAATGACTAAATTAATTGTCTCGTGTTCTAGGAGTGAATTAGAATATTAGTGTTTTGAAAAATAATCATTGTCTGAATCATGACACTCTACTTGAACAAAAGAGAGTGAAGTAGGTACCTGATCAATTGTTACTAACTTTTTGGAAAGAGCAGTTTGGTATGATGTTTCATCCTTTGGAAAACCATGTAACTTAATGTTCACTGAAATATTTGAGGTGTTCTTGCAGTTTATATATACACAACTGTGTCTTCCACTAGGAACTGCTGCATCTTTCACTTTCTGCTCACTCATTATACTGTTTGAAGTTGAACAAGAAACAGCAACAAGCAGAACTCAAAATACAATCTAAACTTCGATCATAACTCAATCCACTATCACTATTCACAGATCTTTGCACTACTTGCTGGATACTGATATAGAAGTGATTCAATTTTCTGAATTCCTTTTATTGAGGTACCTACAAGTAATCAGATGGCATTATTTAAACGATTAAAGTTGATTGGAATACATGCTATTAAAACAACATTTTAACTGAGTACCTTACCTGAATATAGAATTTATTCCCTTCTTGTCAATAAATTTCGGACATTAACAAACAAATTATCGATTTTGAAACTGATGAGCAGATAAAATGCACAATAAACAAACGCTTCTACCAGTCACAGTGCTGGAATCGAGGCCGTCGACCTCGTGCTAGTCGTGCTGGAATGTGGAAAACATGCCGAAAATCCCGAGCGCTTGCGCAGTAGTGAGACTGTCCCTTTAAACTTTGCGCTTTTGTCATCTCTCTCTAATTTTGTGCGCCTTGTCTGACTGTCTTATCTGTAAGGTTTGTTAATCTGTGCTTATACTGCCACTAACTTAGTCGGAACCCACACAATATTTATTGTTGACATTGAACCCTGTACGAGAATACCATCAGCCGCTCGGTATATAATCTGGCATCATCTCCCTTGTACTCCTCACTTTTTTTGAGTAGTTGGTCATGGAAGTCGTGGAGAGTTGTCATTTTCTAAAGTTTTCGGACTTATATTTTAAGGTAAATTGGGTCTCGGTGGATTGATTCCATGTGGTTCTATAAAATATTTTCAGTGAGCCAACCCTCAAAAATTGACAGTTTTTTTGCCAGGGGCGTTTGAATTCACATTTTGATCGAATTGACCATTTATTTCTGAGAAAATGAACGATATTCCAAAACTTTTTATTTCATTTAATTACTTCTAAAAATAGATTCTTCATGAAAAAAATTTAATGGGGAAGAATTATTACCACCAATCACTATTTTGAAAACCGAAAAAAAAAAAAGAATTCCATCTAACTGTCAAAAGTGATAGGAAATGTTTCATGACGTATAATTATGGAAACCGCATTTTTGCATTATTACCCCTACAAAATGGGGGGTGCAAATGAAAAAAAATTCAGTGGATTTCGCTGAATTTTTTATATGATGTAGTCCATATGATTCTGATCAGAGAATCATCGGGTGACAATCCTAAAAAATGGACAGTGTTTTTAGGGGGCTTCAATAATTCACATTTAAAAAAAAAATGACTAACCATTTGATTCTGAATAGAAAGACAACTTTTTTCCTTAATGATTTTTCATTCGGAAATATTGGGAAGGTGGCGCCACTAGTTGGCGATAACATGACTAGATCTAGGCTAGACTATTTTGATCGGAATGTGAATTCCCCCCCTTCCATTTGCTGGGGGCAATCATGCAAGAGAGCTTTTTCCATATAATTTCTTGTGATTAAACATTTTCTTATGCTTCTCACAGTAGCACGGATTTTTTTAAAGCTGGTTGGGGGGCGAGAACCTCCCCCCCCCCATTTTTCCAAATGAAAAATCATTAAGGAATGGGAATACAATATTGAAAATAGTTGTCTTTCTATTCAGAATCAAATGTGAATTGAAACCTAAACCAGAAAAAGCATTTTTTAGGATTGTCACCCGACGATTTTCTGATCAGAATCATATGTGACTACATCATATCAAAAATTCAGCGAGAACCACCGAATATTTTTCCATTTGCACCCCCCCATTTCCCATAGGGGGTAATGATGCTAAAATGCGGTTTCCATAATTATCGTAGATGAAACATTTCCTGTCACTTTTGACATTACACTCCGAATTTGATTCTCATTCGACTATACTATCTACTAGAGTCACTGGATGGTACTAGTTTGATAAGAGTTCGGACACAGAAATGACAACGATTAGGGTTTTTGAATGTTTAGATTTATAAAGTTACACACCTTGCATCGTGACAAGAGCACCATAGTCCCGCGCTTTTTCATTCAAAAATTCTTTGAATTTGACAATTAATTTTATAAACGTCAGAATTGAAATAAAATTTCATAATTATTATACTTTCGAGATGAAAGCAGCTATGGAAATCACTTGCTGTGTAATAAATTGTGCCAATTCTGAAACAAATGGATATCATTTATTCGATTTTCCGAATCAAATATAATATATCCAGCATTCGCTTATAGAAGGAAGATATGAAACGGCCTGGTCGGAAAATCAAGTTGAAGACGAGCGAAATTTGTGAGGTACTCATTGAAATTCACTTCTTATAACATCATCTGATTAGAATGAATCTATATTTTAGGCCCATTTTCAAACATAAGATTTCAAAATCTGATTGAGAGAATCTGTTGTTCCATCAATTTACAAAGCAGACGATTTCAAGAACAAAATTCCATTATTATCATCACACTAAATACAAAACAAAATAATCATGGAAGAAGGGGAAATGATCGCAAAATTACATTATAAAATTGAACATTTGAGAATAAGAAAAGCAAGTAAACTACATCGTGATATATTATTGAATGGCGTTTTTGGTGCCGACCGAATTCAACATTCAACATTGAAAAGTAAATAGATATTTATGTATCAAGGGAATTATTATAAGGGCCTCAATTACGCTGGAGGTATCGTTTTGGAGAGATTTTCTATAGTGATATCCATGTTACTTAGCTCCTAAGGCGCTAAGTGGAGTTGCTGAGAACTTTACAAAACCAAGTAATTGGTAGGTCTCGTCAAAATAAATTAATTTTTTTCCTATGAAATCTTTATCAAAAAATGATTTGTTCTCTGTATTTCCACATCCTGTATGAAGCATTTCCGGACACAAGCTTATATAGACTTAATTTCTTAAAATTGTCTCAGGAATACTTCACTGGAGTACAGTTTCACATACAATACATTTTTTTCATTTTTATATAATAGTTGCTCTTCTAGAAGTGTATCACTATGAATTGAAGTGGGTGTTTGTACCCTATATCCATTGTCCATCTACGGCTATGATTGATTTGACAGAAAATATAACCTCTAAAATCGTATCTATCAGGCGCTACTAGGGAAATTGAAAAGACGAAGAGCAAAATATATGTCTTATTCTTTTATTCACTTAAACCATTGTAATATAGAAAATAGAAACGGACAAAAGTTCAGTTGTGTCCGAACTCTTATCAAACTAATACTATCCAGTGACACTACTATCTACGACTTATATGAACGGTTGTTGTTCAACTCAAAGAGAGTGAGGATTCTTTGGACAAAAAGTCATTATTTTAAAAATATGTGTTATAAATAGTGTTTTGATCCACCCCTATACAAGGGAGATGTTTACAGATCCAATAATCAATGTCAATAATCATATTTATATATCTTACAGATAATGGGAAAGTGTTGAAAATGGTGAACATTCCTGGGATAAATAGCACCAAAGCTCATGTGATCTCTGAAAATGAAGTGTTCTCCATAAACACTCCGATAAGGCAGCTCAAAACAGCACCTGGCTATGGAAGAGTCATTGCTGTTACCAAGGATGAGGTCAAACTGATAACCCTTAACCATTGCGAAACCATCCATCACTGCAAGTGAGTAACCTCTGTCAGAAAAGGCAAGACAAAAATTCGTGAATTCAACTCAAAAGTGCATTCAACTGAAGAATCATTATAACCAAAGATTACTGAATGTCTAGAAGATATTCCACTTACAAGGATCCATTTGTCGGTACGCTCGAACATTGCGTTTTTTGCTTTTCCCATAAATCATCGGGCCAACAAACGGTAGCGGCATGTAGGGGTGCGCTTGACGGTTATACGGGGCGATTCCAATTCTAGCGCTCTTACAGGGGACGTTCAGTAACGTCCACTCAGAAATCCAAAATCACAATGATAGTGGTTTTTGATATTTTAGAAATTCTCAATTCATATCAATCGAATAATAGTTTCTAATGATTCACTCTCAAATGATACACATTAGTTCTGAAAAACGTTTTTTATTTATTAACAAACATATTTACAGACATCAATATTATGTTGATTGATATGATATTCATGGAAGATAATTATAATATTTGGAGATAACTTTTAGAGATGATTCAATATATTTTATTTAACATTATATGTTTTGCTCCTTTTAACAATCTTCATATCTTGATTCAAAAATTTGAGGGTAAAGTATATGCGAACTCTTGTATACAAAGATATATAATAATTGTAGGGAAATTCTTGACATGGATGTGAAAATGGAACTTTTGAGTATTGTTGTTTCAAATACTGACCAAGTCCTTTTTCACCTCCGATTTTGTTGAAGTGTTCAATGAATATGTTCTCCATGAATATGACATGATCAACAATATCTTTTGAAGTTATTGTTAAACGACCAAATGATGATTTTTCGGTACTATATGCCTTCAGTTTGCAGAAAAGTACTTCTTCATCTACCAAATTTTCTGAAGATTTGCTGAAATCTACACAAACCTCACATGAATGTTGAGTTAGACATTTCTTTACAAGACCTTCAGAGGAGTATATTTTTGGCTATCGAGTGCAACCAGGATATCTGTACATTTTTCAGTAAACTCTGGCGTTAAACTCAACAAAACTTCATTCACATCATCCATACAGTTCGCACCTTCACTGGAATCAGAGTATTTCAAAGCAAATAATTTTTTAAATGCTCTGCAGAACTGTATGGGTGTTGGATTTTTTGCGTTGCCAGAACAATTTCTAATCTGCCCGAAGAAATTCTCTAAACAATCTTGATTTAAATTACGTGTGAACAAATATCTATAATTTCGTTCTTTCAACATTTCCATAGTGCAAGAACTGCTTTAAAGGGTAACCTTCATCCAAAAATGAACGTCATACTTTTGCCATCATAATTCTTGACTTCAATACTCCGAAACATGTCATAGGCTTCTTGAATACATTTCATTTGCTTTTCCGTTCCCATAAAAGCCTGACATTTCTCAAAATGTATTTTGGACAACGAAAAAACGAAAGACCTGGGCTTCCCACAATACTAGGGCAACCATCCACTGAGCAATGAGTAGGCATTTCACAAATATTCCACAGTACGATTCAACACTACAAGACACTATCACTACATAATATAGACAACCGGTATATCTCGTCAACCAACGACAACTGGTAACTCTGAGCGACACACTGTATCGCACCGGCAGGCGGTGGCCGGCAGAATCGAGTCGTTGGCGAGTAGGGTGCGGCGAGATCTCTTAGAAGTCGAAAAATGAACGAGTGAACTGTCTTATAGATTATCTTCTGTAGTCTATGTTATAACATAACAATTACTCCATAATTTTTTTGATAAATTGTTCTGTAAAACTTCCAAAAAAAAATTGAATATGCTACAATTTCGTGGATCGTTCAAGCATAGCTTTCGGCGGTAAACTCGTCTATTCAGTTCTGACTAATAATCGGTTTTCCTGTGTTGGCAGGCGTTTTATTATAAGGAAATATAAAGTGAATATTTCTCAATTTTCGTATCAATACAACTGTGAACTGTCGAGAAGTTTCGATATTCATTGATGTAGTAAACAGCATCAATATAGGTTTTATCCCCACTTCCAATTATATTGATTGAGTTGGTTGTAGCATGTTGTAGGTTCAATTAGCAGCGACAAAATTCGATCCAACCTCAATTGTACGTTTATAACTAGATTTATATAATTCAACTGAATAATTTTGGTATATTTGCCATTTAAATGAACCTCCCTCAAATTCTGATGACATTCTAATAATATCTATGTCATAATCTGTCACAATCCAGTTCATAAGGAAACAAGAACAAGTGAGTTTATAACTGTCTTGCTCAGTTCATCCATGACATTGTTCATATGAGTTGAATTTGAGAACAATGAACTCTGAAATATCTAAACAAGCTAGAGAATCTGTAGAGACGGCAACGCAATACAGGGTGACATTTTGAATACTCACCCTCAATATCTTCCTTTCAGTGAATAATATGAAAAATCGAGAAGACAGGTCAATTTTATTTTCAAGGGGGACCCTTAAAATTGATTTTTTTAGCCCTCTTGGTTCAATCCCCTAGGAGGGGTAGATGTTACCCTTAGAATCTCAAATGGGAAGGGGGGTCAAGTGGCACATCATTCTGAAGGGTGTTCAATTCTCTTTCCAACGGTACCCTAGTTTATCATTTTCTGTCAAGCAGTTTCCGAAAAATACCGTGTCAATTAGAAAACTTCCCACCCTCAATATCTTCCTTCCAGTAAATAAAATGAAAAATCGAAAAGATAGGTCAATTTCAATGTCAAGGGGGACACTTCACCCCTAGGAGGGGTAGATGTTACCCTTAGAACCTTATATGAAAAGGGCGTCAAGATGCACATTATTCTAAAGGGCGTTCAATTCTCTTTCCAACAGTACCCTAGTTCATGATTTTTTGATGAGCAGTTTCCGAAAAATGCCGTTCTAAACTTACAGAAGTAATTGGAACATGCCTGCACTGAAATGCATTCAAAATCTTTCTACCATTTGGACTGAAAGGGGCAATACAATAATACCAGCTTGAAAACCATACATATCAGTCGAGATATCAGTGCAGGCATGTTCTAAATACTTCTGTAAGTTTAGAACGGCCTTTTTTCGGAAACTGTTCATCAAAAAAATGAAGGGGAATAGTTAAAAAGAGACTTGAACGCCCTTTAAAATGATGTCCATCTCGACCTCCCTTTTCATATTAAATCCTAAGGGTAACATCTACCCATTCTATAGTCTTTTCGAATTTTTAATATCATTTACTGAAAGGAATATATTATCGGGTGCGAAGTTTTCTAGGTGATACGACATTTTTAGGAAAAAGCTCGACAGAGAATGATTAACTAGGTTACCGTTCGAAAGAAAATTGAACGCCTTTTAAAATGATATGCCACTTGACCCCATTTTCCATTTGAGATTCTAAGGGTAACATCTACTCCTCCTAGGGGGTTGAACCAAGAGGGCTAAAACTAATTATTTCAAGTGTCCCCCTTGAAAATAAAATCGACCTGTTTTTTCGATTTCTCATATTATTTACTGCAAGGAAGATATTGAGGGTGGAAATTTTCAAAATGTCACCCTGTATATTTTACTGAATAATGAATTTTCTATTTTTTTGGAATACTAATAGACGTTCGGCGCTTTATAGTACTTGTGACGTCAGTACCGTTGACGATTTTCCGCTCTGTCCTAACGGGAGCATGTCTTTGAATTAAAACTTCATAGCATTTTTTCGCTCTTACTTATTGTTCTCAAACTCGGTTGGCCACTATCACGAATACTCGCCTGCAAATTTACCTGTACTGCAACATAAATCTGTTACGATCTGGACAAGCAGGAGTACGGAATCCTCAGGCGAGATCTATGAGAGGCCTTTAACCAGCGATAGGGGCCAAGTAGGCCCTGGCATTTCGTCTAACGGCGATGTCGAGAACTACGACCGACAGCGTTGCAATGGGGAAGTTTCCTTCAGATGAATCATAAAATAAGTTTGGAACTCTCCAGTGTTATGTCTACGCTGTACAGAATGACGAAGACCAAGTTTTTATTTTCAAATTGAAGCAATTTCTAATATTCGTGGCGACAAACTGTGAAGTACATTCTGATTCTAGTCTGAAAATAGCTGATGGTGAAGAATATAGCTAGCGAAAAGCTAACCAATGAAAAACGAATGAAAAAATAGAAGAAGTCAAACTGGCAAACAAAAACATAAATAACCACAAATGCACTCGGAGCAGGAATGCAAAGGCTTCATTCTGACAGGTTATGGTTTCGTTATTTATGCATTGAAATATCTCGAAGATCCTAAACGAAAATATCATTGAATCAATGAATCACTATCGGCTACATTCAATGATACTATCCTCCCTAATTAACTGCCATCGGTCAGAGCAGGATGAAGCAGACACCCATGGCTCCTTCCTGACTTCCTCTTGTTGTGTCTGTCAGTATTTTGAGTGGTGTGGACGGATTCGAAGTATTAGGCGCTGTTGCAATAGATCCGTTTTATTAAGGAACAAATTCATTAGCAAAAAAATTACTAACAAGGTATGAACAACATATTGTAATGATAGTGAAAAATTATAGATACTATCGCAAAATATCATAATTTATCTTTATTAGTAATCAACTTCATTCAGCCAATGAGAGATTTATGGGAATTATTCATAATACCTGACAAAGTAGGATTGAAGAACCTATTATATCCCATTGCTGTTATGATATAGTTATTATGCAGTCAAAGAACAATTTCCGGAAATCTAGACATATTGATGATGTCGGCAACGTCGTACTGGCACAGGGAATCGTATTTTAACTCTGTGTGAATGTGGATTTTCAGAAAGTAAGTCATAGGAATGGTGGAGGAGCCACGTTCCTCTTTTATTCATTTGATCTTGAGTAAAAAAGAAAAAAATACGTATACAGGGTGTCCTATAAGTAATGTATCAAAAGAAGTGGGGTGGTAGGGAGGGTCATTTCCAATCCAAGTAACCATACATGTGGTTATCCAATTGTTGATGGTTCTAAAGTTATTAATTTATTATGTCACATTCGTGATTTTTTCTTTCACAAATTTCATCCACATGGATGCACCTTTCCCAAGAAATAATTGAATGAAATATTCAAGTTGATTTTTAAATGCCGCTGGCAGATTAAAAAATTACCCCCACAAAGATATCCAATTATAAGAAAAAGTTGTCCATTTAATACAGATTCTGAAATGGTATAACATGGGGTTATTCAAAACAGCCTTTTTGTTATTAATTTTTCTCAAATAGTTCGTGTTTTTCAGAAAAATTTAATAACTTTTTAACCATCAACAATTTGAGAGGGGACTGCGAGTGTCAGAATATTCCACGAATGGCATTCGGTGTCTAATGAAGTACCTTAGTTTGGTTGTATCATTGATTAATTCAAAATAAACTGTTTTATACGAATTTGGTGGCTTAACAAATCAGTAAGAAGTAGAATCTGCCATATCAATAGTTCAGTAAGTCTATGATTTTTCAGCGAATGCATGGAATTGAGGGACCCCCACTGCGCATGGGACCTGATGAAGAGCGCCTGCGTCAGCCTGGACGCTGTCACCTCCTTCCGCTACCTCGTCCAAGACGTAAAAAACGGCAACATACTCAAGTGCAAGAACTCGCCGACCAACGACAACGAAGTGTCAGTTGTCAAGCACGAAAGAAAAGAATTCGCGGACGATCCCCTGGAAGATGACGGTTTCGTGGACGAGCTGAAATCGAAAGAAGCAGCAGAGGAGGAGAGGAAAGAATGTGGGGATTTGGGAAGAGTGGCCTCTGATTATCTGCATATGATTGTCGGTGGGGCTATAGTTGGGGGGCTGGTTTTCGGGTTCGTTTGCGGGTATTTGGTGTCGAGAAGATTTCACGCGCATCCCAATGCGCCGTCTTTTATCGAACAAAGGAACCATTTGGATAGGTGAGATGCGTTTGCGCTGTTGTGCAGATAACCGAAACGATTTTTTCAAAAAGATCAATATGACAATCTTCCTCTTGTAGTTCAAAGTGACAGCAACTGCGTGTTGATTATGACACATGCGAAATAATAAATTACTTCAACATCAGTCTTAATTTCAAATAATCGTGGAAGGAAATAGGAGGTCTAAAAAGTGAAACTATTCGGTTTCTCAAATGAATTATTCATATTTTTCATCATAGATAAAGGAATGACATCAAATGAAAATAATAATAATAATAATAATAAATACATTTTATTTCAAGGAATACTACAATATATAAACGTGATCACATAAAGTAGGAATAAATGAAACAATAGTCAACAAAAGAATATGATAGTCACTTGTGAGATCTACAAATATTTCTGAGATTATTTGATTCGAAAGTTCATGAACTCTGTCTCATCATATGGTTCGATGTTAACCAACAACTTAAAAATTGTTTTCTTGAATTTTGCTAATGATTTTATCGATTTGATGTCACTAGAGAGTTTGTTATAAAATCTAATACAAGAGTATAATGCACTGGACTCAATTAATCGCAATCTGTGTGCTGGATATGTGTAGTTAGAGTGTCTGGTATCATGTTCTGTCTGAGATTCCATATTTGTGAATAATCGTTTATTTTTGAAAATGAATAATAGGCACTCTTGAATGAACATCGCATAAAAGGTGAGTAGTTTATTTTTTCTGAATAAACCTCTGCATGAATCTCCAGGTTTCAAGTTCCAGAGAATTCTCAGAATTCTCTTCTGGATTATGAAGATCGCGTTTGCGGCCCTGCTACTTCCATAGAATATGATACCATACCTCATGATTGACTCTACGTTTGCATGGTAAACCATCTTAAGTGTATGGTACTTGACATATTTAGCAATAATTCTTATACTATAACCAGACGAGTTCAATTTTCCACTGATATTATTGATGTGATTCATCCAACTCAATTTGGTATCAATTTGCATTCCTAGGAATTTAACATATTCTGACATGCTCACATTTTGATTATCAATTTCAATATGTGTTGGAATATCAGATCTGGGATGATTGGTTGTGAGAAACAAAAAATTAGTTTTGCTTTTATTCAGAATTTGTTTCTTCGTTGTAAACCACTCATTTGTTACTTTGAGAATATAATTAACATTAATTACCAAATCCGGAAACAGTTCACCACGGACCAATAAGTTTGTGTCATCTGCATAGTTGGTGAGACACATTTGCTCTGATCAAGATTTTCTATCAGGTCGTTGATGTAAATTATAAAAAGTAGAGGGCCTATAATACTGCCTTGTGGAACACCAGTGTTCGAGATTTCATTAATATCTGATTTGACTGTTTTGTTGTTTTTTCTAATAAGTACTCTTTGCTTTCTCTCCAACAAATATGACCTAAACCAACTAAGCGCAGGTCCTCTGACTCCATATTTGGACCTAACTTACTTGGGACAGAACATACTTGATAGTGGATTATTTAATTTTGAAGAGACGCCACGTTGGCGTTGCACCGGTCAATTTCTAGTGTCCTATCGTCCAAGCACTCCTAGCCGAAGGATACAGAATTTGGGCTAGCTTTGAGGAAGCAAAGAAATGTTTTCTTCGGTCAACGTAAAATAATAAAAAAATTATGTTGGCGATACTAAAATTAAGAAAAATTTAAGACCATTTCAACCTTAATTTTAGTGTTTGCCAACAAGGCTACTGAACCTATATCAGATGGCCTATCAAAACACAAGTTCTAGGTTTCCTACTCCTCCTAATACCAAAAGTTCTTCACATTTCAGTGATAAAGAAGTTTGAGTGATGAAAATATCCGATAAGATTTGAAGAAAGAGTTATTCGGTGATATGATTTGAAGAGATAAATTCGAATTTGCGGCCTTCCATGATCGATCAAGTGGTTCTAAAAATGATGTGATGTGTGTCATTCGTTCAACAAACTTGGGCCAAAGCGCTCAAGAATTTAATGAATTAGGATCAGTTATCAATCATTTCGGCACGAATAATACCATCTGCTTGGTATATAACCTGTCACTTCTCTCTTGTGCAAGGGTGGATGGATCAACCCAAGTTCATCAAAATTGTTAAAACAATTGCGGCAAAACATGTAGGGCAAACTAGAAGAACTGATACAGCTAGGTTCAAGGAACACCTAGCACATTCGAAGCATGATAGATTAGTTATAAAAAATTTAGTTGGTCAGAGTCACAACACAAAGATAGAAGATGTAACAAAGTGGAACACATCTGAATTTTTAACATTGAAAAAATCGTTTTGATTACCAGTAGTGTTACTTGTTTTGTTGTTTGTTTCTATAATTTGATATATGTTTATACATGGTTTACATTGTGTTTATTTTTCAGACTGAACGTGAATCAAAATAGTTTTTTAACCCCCAGACCGAAGACAGTCAATCTGGATGTCTTGAATGTCTCAGCGGAGACTCTGCCGCCCAAGAAGGATAATTTGGATTCGTTGAAGAATTTGAATATTACTAATGAAGGAACTCTACAGAAGATAAAGAAAACTTATATTTGATACAATACAAATACAATTAATTTTTTTCTACAAATGTTCTCGTTTTATATGTTCCATTTGAATATTTGTTTGTATTGTGCCTTTTACTTTAATGTGAAAAAAACGAGCCACAAAATTACGAACAGGGATAATTTGATAAAAATTCGAAATCATTCTATCTCTTACATTAAAAATAAAATAATTAAATTAGTACATTAATGATGGATAATAATTATATCATCTTCTATACAAGTCGCTGGAGTTATTCGTCATGAGAGTTGCCACAACTGGCAGTTCTGATGCGACTGATGATGTCTAGGTGGACCGAAACAGTACAGTACGTGTGTCCAGTTTTCGATGCTTTTACGTGATATCTCAATTATCTTTCGAGAACCTTGCGGTTTTCGCGGTCCTGTGCCACTTTTTTGTGAAACTCAAGATGGCCTAATCCGTTACCACCGATACAACAAGGCCTGCATGCTCCGTGGGTGACGTCACTTGGTGAGGCCTAACCAGCGGCTTGAAACGACAAGCGCTTATAGCGACCGCGTATTTCGATTTTAGTTTTAGATCATCATTGAGCCGATTTTGCTGTTTTTTGAAGGGCTTCCGGTTAAAAAAGGATGCCAGTCGTCAACTGAGCCCTTCTTCGCACCCCATTCGATTTTATTATGGAAAAACGAAGTTTTAAAGCAACAAACAGGATAAAACACAAATATCCACCTACAGCAACCCATTCGAATTAAATATATTGGCAAAAATTGTGTTGAAGGTGAACTTCACACCTACTTATACAGGGCCCGCAGAACATAAACTTATCGTGAGATTGATCGAAAGAAAATTGTGGAAAATGTATTTTATTTTGATTGACATGCCGTTTGTTACAATTACCTATATTTATCTTGGAGAATTCCTATTACCTGAAAAAATAACCAGTGAGTGTTTTAAATTTTCTGTTGTTGGATTTTTCACCCAAGTGGATCGTTACACTTGAAACCGTAATTTTTGAGGGTAAAACTGCATTTATCATGCGATGTTTTTTTTTTTAATTTTTTTCGGTACTCACGTATTTTTGTCTGATAAACCGAATTTTATAATGAAAATGTGAACAAACCACTATTTATTGAGATATTTCAAGAAAAAATTCGAAATTTCGCCTTCTTTCTCCCCTTGTGTTGGGGGCATTTGAAGCTACTTGCTCTTATTTTGTCATTGGACACTTTATATACTCATGATGTACTTCGATGGCACATATTTTTATATAGAAAATTCAACAGGAAATATGATTTCGACCATTTAATCAATAGTCAATCAAAATACGAGATGTCAAATGTCAATAGATTGCTTTCGAATGACATTACACACGCCATTATTTTGAATGATATTCTTCCTTCTTTTCACTAAATATGGATTAATCTCAAGAAAATCATATTTATGGTTGAATTATATATAAATTGTCCAATATGATGAAAAAAGAAGGGAAATTTGTTCTAAATGCCATCCAGAAGACAGGTGAAAAAAAAGGTGAAATTTGGAACTTTTTAGTCAAATATCTTCATGATAAATATCATGATGAATGCAGTTTTACCTTTTTAAGTAGAGTGTTTGTAGTTCATGTAAATATGATAGTTGCAATTTGATCATTGGAATGAATTCTGCATTCATTGCCACGAGGCAAATGACCGTTTTCAGAAAGAAATTTGAGAATGAGAATTAAAAATGCCCGTTTATTATGAACATTCAAGAAAATTTCCTCGAATTCAGAGATGATTTTGTTGACTATAATATACAAAACTAACTGCACAATCAAAGCTTTTCTATTTTTCCTCTACTTATACTTTTTATGAGACAGTAATTGTCTTCTATTATTAATTCATCATTATAAATTAAGCTCTGTTTACTGCTGAACTTAGATGGAGTAAAATCTTCGCGGTGAATTGCATATACCCACATTTTTAGCTCCTCGTCCAATGGGAAACTAAAAGCATGAACTTTTGAACCACCCACATAATTCCCCCGACAAAAGGGAACACAACACTTGAAAGGCATTGTTATTTCGCCGATCACAACACATAATATTTCACAAAACAGTAATATTTCCGCCAATTATTTTGATGAATAAACAACAAAAGAATTCGGGACCGTTTCAAAAACATACGTGAATCACCGATGAATTAACACGAACTGACGCGTTAGTCCACAAGCGATAAAATAAAACACTGGCCTCTCTTGGTGACGTCACGAGCTGTTTACGTCAGAGTCTGCTGGCCTTGTTGTATCGATGGTAACGCCTAATCAGATTTTGTATAAATGTTCCCGTTTCTGAGATACAGGGCGATTTTGAAAATTTTGAACCCCCTCTATATCTACGAAGTTCCTCAGCGATAGTGTCAAATCGAAAGCTTAGCCCATAGAGAATTTTACGCAGAATCCAGTGGCGCACTCAATTTTTTTTTTCGGGGTATGGTTTTGGAGATACGACAAACTTATGATTTTCAAATGGAGCAGCCTGTATTTCATCAGCTCATTAAATTTCTTATTTTTCCTCTTCAAAATCATATATAAAGTTATAAATATAAAAATTCCAATAATGCTCCAAAATCACTAAAACATTGAAATTTTTCATATAAAAAAAGTTTCAATTGAAAGAATATTTCCTTTGATTTTTTATGAAGAGGACAAAAACGATCCCAACACTAATTAACTAACAAATCACAAAACTTTGTTTCCTGATTGCAACAAATGATTAGTAATAAGAAGTTCATAATTTAGAATAAGCACCTGATTAAATATTCACTAAAACATTTGAATTTCGAAATTATTCAATAAATTATTATTCATTGATGTCCATTTTTCCCCTCACACACATTCTCAATACGTCTTAATGAAATAAAAATCATTAGAGGATGTCTTTGTAATTTCTGGAAACTGCCTTTGTTCGAAGTTCTTCAAGATTGTTGTGCCTCTTATTGTATTAACACGTATTGAGAAAGTGTGTGTTAGGGAAAATGGACATCAATTTGAACAATTCAATGAATAATTTCGAAATTCAATTGTATTAGTAAATATTCAATCAGGTGCCTATTCTACATAATGATCTTTGTATTACTATTTATTTGTTACTTTCAGGTACCCAACTTGTGTGTTTTGTTAGTTAATTAGTGTTCTCTTCTTGTTTCTTTAACGTCGGCCTTGTTCTGCTACTGAGGCTAATCACCGACGCCGGTGAGCACACTCGTTACCACCGATACAACAAGGTCAGCAGACTCTGACGTAAACAGCTCGTGACGTCACCAAGAGAGGCCAGTGTTTTATTTTATCGCTTGTCGACTAACGCGTCAGTTCGTGTTAATTCATCGGTGTATCGGTGATTCACGTATGTTTTTGAAACGGTCCCGAATTCTTTTGTTGTTTATTCATCAAAATAATTGGCGGAAAAATTACTGTTTTGTGAAATATTTTGTGTTGTGATCGGCGAAATAACAATGCCTTTCAAGTGTTGTGTTCCCTTTTGTCGGGGGAATTATGTGGGTGGTTCAAAGTTCATGCTTTTAGTTTCCCGTTGGACGAGGAGCTATCGAAAATGTGGGTATATGCAATTCATCGCGAGGATTTTACTCCATCTAAGTTCAGTAGTAAACAGAGCTTAATTTTCAACAAAATCATCTCTGAATTCGAAGAAATTTTCTTGAATGTTCATAATAAACGGGCATTTTTAATTCTCATTCTCAAAATTCTTTCTGAAAACGGTCATTTGCCTCGTGGCAATGAATGCAGAATTCATTCCAATGATCAAATTGCAACTATTATATTAACATGAACTACAAACACTCTACTTAAAAAGGTAAAATTGCATTTATCATGATATTTATCATGAAGATATTTGACTAAAAAGTTCCAAATTTCACCTTCTTTTTCACCTGTCTTCTGGATGGCATTTAGAACAAATTTCCCTTCTTTTTTCATCATATTGGACAATTTATATATAATTCAACTATAAATATGATTTTCTTGAGATTAATCCATATTTAGTGAAAAGAAGGAAGAATATCGAATATCGAAAGCAATCTATTGACATTTGACATCTCGTATTTTGATTGACTATTGATTAAATGGTCGTCATCTGGAATGCTTGTACACTAAATATGAAAAACTTTCTATATAAAAATGTGCCATCGAAGTACATCATCAGTATATAAAGTGTGACAAAATAAGAGCAAGTAGATTCAAATGCCCCCAACACAAGGGGAGGAAGAAGGCTAAATTTCGAACTTTTTCTTGAAATATCTCAATAAATAGTGGTTTGTTCACATTTTCATTATAAAATTCGGTTTATCAAACAAAAATACGTGAGTACCGAAAAAAATTTTCAAAAAAAAAACCATCGCATGATAAATGCAGTTTTACCCTTAAAAATTACGGTTTCAAGTGTAACGATCCACTTGGGTGGAAAATCCAACAACAGAAAATTGAAAACACTCACTGGTTATTTTTTCAGGTAATAGGAATTCTCCAAGATAAATATAGGTAATTGTAACAAACGGCATGTCAATCAAAATAAAATACATTTTCCACAATTTCCTTTCGATCAATCTCACGATAAGTTTATGTTCTGCGGGCCCTGTATAAGTAGGTGTGAAGTTCACCTTCAACACAATTTTTGCCAATATATTTAATTCGAATGGGTTGCTGTAGGTGGATATTTGTGTTTTAGCCTGGTTTTTGCTTTAAAACTTCGTTTTTCCATAATAAAATCGAATGGGGTGCGAAGAAGGGCTCAGTTGACGACTGGCATCCTTTTTTAACCGGAAGCCCTTCAAAAAACAGCAACATCGGCTCAATGATGATCTAAAACTAAAATCGAAATACGCGGTCGCCTTATAGCGCTATAAGCGCTTGTCGTTTCGAGCCGCTGGTTAGGCCTCACTAAGTGACGTCACCCACGGAGCATGCAGGCCTTGTTGTATCGGTGGTAACGGCATACTACCCCCAACCGGAAATTTTGCCGAATCCTCTGGTTTTCTAACCAGAGGTAGGGATCTTCAACGAGATGTAAGCAAACAAAGTATAGTTTGATAGCAGTGGATAGGATGTTGGCGAATTTGGCTTCACTGTGTTGATGTATATTGTATAATGTATATTGATGCATTCTTCGTCACCCGACAAAAATCTAAATAGTAAATTATTGAAAAATTGTCTAAACGACGAAGCTCACCAAATTGGCACGTCACACCGACGTGATTTCAAGACGTCATAGATACGTCACTGCAACGTCATGAGAGTAACGGTTTCAATATAGGTATACCTAAACAATCATTTTCATATATACATAGCTTATTGGTTTCCGAGATAAACAGTGTGTCAAAGTTTTTTAGAAAATAGTTTTCCTACTACTTTTCGGGTATATAAATAATTAGAATAAAACTTGCATGTTGATTCGCTTTCATGAGTTATACTTTTGTTTCACATGATAATATATAAGTATCCATGGTTTAGAGAAGGTCTGGGAAAAATGGATGTCGACAGGACGTCCCTTATTCAACGTCATGAAACTGACTTCTTTCTTTACCCATCTAACTGACGTTCACTTGACGTCGAAACGATGACGTGATTATCACGTCATAGAAAGTACGTCATAGTGACGTCATAAATTGGTGCGTGACGTCTCTGACGAAAAATCACCAATTAGGGACGTCACAGTGACGTGATCATTCGTCATCTGGTTGCCTGGGTCCCGACTATAGATTCTCAGGTTCCCTAAAAACATTGGTTGATGCATATATCAGCCCGTGCTTTTTACGGATGTTATGGTGTTCTCTGGCTGTATAGTGATATTCCGGGTAAGGTCACTTCCAGCGCGATGTGGTATTTGTAGAATCTATTTGATATTTTCAGGATGTACTCGCTGATTCTTGGCAAATTACCACATCTCTCGTGGAGATCTGCCACTCGAGAGTATCTATCACCGTTGGTGATAATACGGAGTACTTTGTTCGATCGAACGGCTAGTGCCTTACCCGGGAAGCTGGGGCGATGCCCGTTAATTAGTGTTGATAATTTTTTTTGCTTTTGGGTGTATGATAAATTGACATTCATCATATATACAGGGCTTGGAAAAAATTCTGAATTGAGACTATCACGAATCTGCGATTAGAGGTCTATAAAAATCATAATAAGTTTCCATCGTTCAAGTTTGAACCCCGCCTGATTGGGTATGAAAGTTTTGAAAAGGAATATCCTCAGATAAATTATGAACATACAAAAATGGATATATATTTATATAAAGCAATATATTGAGAATTTGCATTCCCTATGTGATGAGAATATCAACTCTTTTTCAGTTTATTCAATAGAAAACAACTTCTTTCCTGGCTATATGCCGCGACGAACATTGAATTATATCTATTTTGAACACACGACACGATAAGAGTTTTTAAAAATAAAATATAAAATCTTCTGAAATTGAGAATTTGCATTCTCCTTCAGACAGGAAAGTAGTTGTTTTCTATTGAATAATCGTATCTCCAAAACCATACCCCGAAAAAAAAAATTAGTGCGCCACTGGATTCTGCGTAAAATTCTCTATGGGCTAAGATTTTAATTTGACATTATCGCTGAGAAACTTCGTAGATATAGAGGGGGTTAAAAAAATATAAATTTTCAAAATCACCCTGTACCTCAGAAACGGAAACAGTTATGCAAAATATGATTAGGCCATCTTGAGTTTCACAAAAAAGTGGTACAGGACCGCGAAAACCGCAAGGTTCTATCTCCAAAGATAACTGAGAAATCATGCAAAAGTATGGAAAACTGGACACACAGTGTCACGTTTCTACAGACAACTAGGGAAACTGTTGATTCTAAATCTTTTAGTTATGAGATCTATGGTTAAAGTACAAGATATTCCATCAACAAGTGAAAACAATATCAAATTGTATTGGTTTTTTGTTTTAGCTAAATGTTAACCAATATTTGTATTGTTCCTAGAGGTCACTTTTTGTGAATAGCATAAATTGCTGTGGAAACAAATATATCTATTTTATGTTCTATAGGAATTGATATCAAATATGCGTCACAATTTTTTTCAAATTTAGAAATGAGTTTAGTCTCTATTTTCTATGTAATGAGTCCCTCTAATAAGCAGACGTATTTCTTGATACAGCTCATTATTTTGATGCCACGATTCAGGTCTAATCGGCGGTTAGTATCGACCAAGTCTTCATACTCTGATATCAAGTTTTCGTTGACGATGACGGTGCTTCGACAAGTTTTAATTTTTTTCACTCTTGGTAAGTTGACATCCAAATGATAGTCCATAGATGGTTCTCATAATATCGAGCATACAAAAATTGGCTATCTAGATCGAAGAATTTTTTATCTAAGATATCACAGGGAAAATGAAAGCGGGTGAAAAATTGCATTTTTTTTTCATAAAGCTTGAGAGTTTTGTTTCTTCCGCACTAGGGCATCCTACCCCGTATACCAAGATTGAAGGCCATACGTTTATATTTGGGTCTAAGAGAATCAAGGTTGATTTTTTTGGTCTGAAAATCAACTTGAACTCTTCTCATATTTATGGAGGGGTTAGATTGGGCTGAAAACTTGTGTACAGGTTGTTCTCGATGTGCTCAACAAAAATCTGAAGTCAGATCCTTTAGTTCTCTCTCAGTTTCCTTGATATCAAACATCAAAAATGTGTACTAGATCGAAGATTTTTGTATCCAAGGTACCCACAAGGAAAAATGTGAAGCAGGTAAAAAATTGCAACTCTTTTCCAATTAGATTCATAGAGTTGTGCTTCTACTCCACGCTAGGGTATTCCAAATTTGAAAGCCCTACGACAAAGTTGATTTTCGGGTCTGAAAATGAATTTGAACTTTTTTTATATCTATATATCGAGGTGTTAGATATTGGGCTGAAAACTTCTATACAGGTTGTTCTCGATGTGCTGAGCAAGAATCTGATGTCAGATTCTTCAAATCTTTCTCAGTTCTCATGATATCGTACATCGAAAATATGGTGTATTAGATCGAAGATTTTTCTATCCAAGGTACCACAAGGAACGAAAAGCAGGTGCAAAATTGCAACTTTTTTCCTCTTGAATTCATAGTGCTGTGTGCTTCAACCCCGCACTAGGGCATCCCTTATAGGGACCCTGATGTATACCAAATTTGAAGGCCCTACGACAAAGTTGATTTTTTGGTTTCCCTTTGCATGAACTTTTTTCATATTTTTCGAGGCGTTAGATTGGGCTGAAAACTTGTGTACAAGGTGTTCTCGATGTGCCCAACAAGAATCTGAAGTCAAATTCTCTATATCCTCAGTTCTCATGACATCGACCATCTAAAATTTGGTGTACTGGATCGAATATGGTTTTATCCAAGGTACAACAACGAAAAGAATAGCAGGTGAAAAATTCCTTCTATAGGGACCCTGTATACCAAATTTGAAGGCCCTACGACAAAGTTGACTTTTTGGTCTGAAAAAAAAACAAAAGGGTCATATTTTTCTAGGCGTCAGATTGGGCTGAAAACTTGTAAACAGGGTGTTCTCGATGTACTGAACAAGAAACTGAAGTAAGTTTTCTTCTATATCTCCTTCTTCTCATGATATATATCAAGCATCGACATTTTGATGTACTAGATCGAAGAATTTCTCAATGAAGGTACCACAAGGTGAAGGAGAGAAAAGCAGGTGAAAATTTGCAGCTTTTCTTCTTTCAAAACTAGAGAGCTTTAGCTTCTACTCCGCACTCAAGGACCCTGTATACAAAGTTTTAATGTCCTACGACAAAGTTGAGTTTTTGGTGTGAAAAAGAAACAAGGATCGAGGCGTCAGATTAGGCTAAATACCTGTGTACAGGGTGTTCTCGATGTGCTGATCAAGACTCTGTAGTCAGATTGTCCATATCTTTCCTATTTCTCATGATATCATGCATCGTAAATTTGATGTACTGGATCGAAGAATTTTTATCGAAGGTATACAACAACGAAAAGAATAGCAGGTGAAAAATGGCAACTTATTTCCCATTAAAGTTATAGAGCTGTGCTTCTATCCCGCACTAGGACATTATTTCTTCTATAGGGATCCTGTATACCAATAAATTTGAAGGCCCTACGACAAAGTTGACTTTTTGGTCTGGGAAAGAAACAAGGGTCATATTTTTCTAGGCGTCAGATTGGGCTGAAAACTTGTATACAGGGTGTTCTCGATGTGCTGAACAAGAAACTGAAGTAAGTTTTCTTCTATATCTCCTTCTTCTCATGATATCAAGCATCGACATTTTGATGTACTAGATCGAAGAATTTCTCGATGAAGGTACCACAAGAAGAGAAAAGCAGGTGAAAATTTGCAACTTTTCTTCTTTTAAAGCTATAGAGCTTTATTATTGCTTCTACTCCGCACTCAAGGACCCTGTATACAAAGTTTTAATGTCCTACGACAAAGTTGAGTTTTTGGTGTGAAAAACAAACAAGGACCCATATAGCACAAGTACGTCCTCTAAACGTACTGAAAACGTCCGGCCAGGACGTACCGTACGTTCGAGGGACGTCCAGATTTGGTACACTCGACGTCTTATGGACGTCCAGGTTCCGCGTGTTTGTACGTCTCTAGTACGTCCATTTCAGGACCATGAATACCTGAATGAACATAGATCCACCTCTTTTTACTCAGACAGTTAAAAATAGATCTAGACAGAGTAGAAAAAATCTTTTTTTGAATAAAAAAAAAATTAAAAAAAGCGCTCCTACCTGGAATCGATCCCACGACCTTTAGATTACCGACCAGATGCTATACCTATTACTCTATACAGACTACTTATTGATGATGACATTATGTGCGAATGTAGATCATCCCTTCACATCGATATATACTTCCATAGAATTAGATGATCACGGCAGAGAATACCTAATTAGATGTTTGTGATTAGGTCGTACGGCCAGTAAAAAAAGAATTGTGTGAATTGAATTATGTTCATGTTTGCAAGGTTCCTATATGGATATAAATACCTATCAGAGATCAAGGGTAGAAATTATATGCAACGATTTCAATCCATCATTATACGATTTATTCAACTCCGTCCACAAAAAGTTGATAACGTCCAGAGTTGGACGTACCCAGTACATCGGAATCGTACTAACCCAGTACGTCCAGAAATGGACGTTTTCAGTACGTTTTGAAAAGGTCCTGGACGTTCAGACCTAAATCGGACCTAAACTGGACGTCCCCAGGACGTCGAGTGCTATATGGGGATCGAGGCGTCAGATTGGGCTAAAAACCTGTGTACAGGGTGTTCTCGATATGCTGATCAAGAAAATGCCAATTTTTTTCAAATAAAGCTAGAGAGCTGTGTGCTACTACTTGATGTACTAGATCGAAGGTATAGGTAATAGGTACCATCAGTTTATCAGTTTCGTTTTTAATTTCAGGCTTCACCTTATGCGAGTGTTCTGACGAAAATGTTCCACTTCTTCCAGTTGATTTACATGACCCGGTAGTCGATGTAATGGATTACATAAAAGATAAGTGTGCACAAAAAGGCCAGACAAATATAGTAGAAGATATGAAGGTATATAATTTTCATTTTCTATTTTCATCAATCTCGGAGATACTAACTTACAAGAACTCAGACTTGGGTCGAATACTGAAATCCGGTATTCGAATACGAATCCTGAATACTGTACTCTAAATTGTATTCGAATACTCAAGATTCGAATACAAAGAAAAAAAGTATTCGAATACCGCTGTATTCGAATACCTGGATTCATTTACATATGAATATTTTATGAATATTCCAACTGTATACATATTTATGTATGTAGTTAATTTATAAAAATATATAAAAAAATAGAAAATCTATATTAAATTAAACTTGATAAATAATTTTTTGATACAAAGTGTCACAATGAGTTGGACGAACCTCCAACAGACGGTTCTTCTGGATCTGAACCGTCAGAAATGGTTTCCTGGGAATCCTGAGTAACGATATCCCTCTCTATCGATAATCTGCACCTGCAAAACGTTAAAATTCTACTACTCTCAACCCCAAGCGAGGGTAATAACCACCCCAAAATACTGAAATAATTTGAATTTTAACAGGTTTCGAGGCTCCTGCAAAGGGCTCTGTTTCGTTTTCGGTTGGGTTGGCCACCCTGTATATGAATCTTACACATAATGTACCTACACAGTACACCTACATAATTAAAAAATAAACTTACCTTTTATACGTTCTATTACTGGTATTACACACAAATTATATCAGGTATTGAAATTTATTATAAACTAGAATAACAATACTCACAAGTAGCCACCCGGGATTCGAATACAGGATTCGAATACAAAGTGGGTATTTGAATACTAGGATTCAAAAACGGTATTCAGAATCCAGAATACCGAGTACTGACCAAAAAAGTATTCAGTCGAATACCGAATACCAAATACACAAATGTATTAGAATGGTATTCGAATACCAGCCAAATGTATTGTGAATAGGATTCAGAATACTGGGTATTCGGATACTACACAAGTCTGCAAGAACTTATTGATAATATACTCCTTTCTCCACTCCTAATTGAGTTTGTTCCACTTATGATGGTCAAGTGATATTGGTAAAGAAAAATTATTGAGTGAAAAAGTGATGTGAATGGTACAATGAAACCCTATTGCAATACTTCTAACATTTTTACAGACAGAATCTAAAAAATCTGTGAGCTGTATCAGAAAATATGTGAATGGCAGCCTAGCCGTACAAGATGATCTAAGGAAAGCGCTACTGGCAAATGACATAGACGGTTTTTTCATGAAATACTGCGGAGTATGGCCAGAAATTCATGTTTGCTTTCAAAATACAATAAATCTCATCAAATCCTGTTTGAATGACACTGAAAAGCAGCAAATAGATGAATCCCTGGAGGTGATGGATTCTATGCAGAGTTTTATTTGCGCAGATAACGCAAGCGAGATGACCAGTAAGTACACAAAAATCAACAAGGGATGGTCCCCTAGCTATTTGAGCATTTTTCTGTATCATATGTGTGTTCGTAAGGTATGAAACAAATTCATTTCAAGAAATAATCCTGAAACACGTCGATTTTTGATTTCAATTTACCGTATTTTAAAAGAATATTATCATATACAGGGTGAATTACTTTCGAGTAATGACGTCACCGTCATTTTTTCTAGATGGAACACCCCCATTTTGTCTCAATTGTCGGATTACTCTAGCTTCGAAAGAAACATACATAAGATCGAAACTCATAGATTGCCCCAATGGCTCCCGTTCGTTTTGGTCCCTTGCTAAGGCGGTCGGAAGAAATTTCACTAACAGTTCATTTCCACCACTGTCCAAATCCGACGGCACATTAGCAACAACATCGCAGGAGAAAGCAAATATTTTTGCAGAGATGTTCGCAGCAATCTCTACTTTAGATTCCCAAGGAAAACTGCCGCCAGACATTCCACCCGTTGAGAGTCGAATGCCCGAAATCGTCTTCCGTCAACGCACTATCAGATGAATTTTGCTTGGTCTCAAAACGAATAAGGCTAACGGTCCTGATGGAATTCCACCCATTACCCTCAAAAACTGTGCACCACAATTAACACCGATTCTCTGCAAGTTGTTTACCATCTCGTACAGGTCGGGTATTTTTCCATCATGCTGGAAGACAGCTAGAGTCCAACCAATCCCCAAAAAAGGGAACAAGAACCTGCCCAACAACTACAGGCCCATTGCCCTGTTATCAGTAATCTCCAAAGTGATGGAGAAAGCCATCAATATTGGGCTTATCAAATATCTGGAGAGCTCAGGAATCATCAATGATAGACAATACGGCTTTCGCCACCGAAGATCTACTGGAGATCAACTTGCCTACGTCTCCCATTTATGGCAAGCTTCATTAGAAAAACACGGGGAATCTCTAGCTGTCGCGTTGGACATATCGAAAGCATTCGACCGTGTTTGGCACGAAGGACTCCTCCACAAACTACCATCATACGGCTTACCACCTCAGCTATGCCATCTCTTATCGAGTCTTCTTTCAGGCAATTCCGGCGTTCAATTTTGGCACCAACATTATTCCTGCTTCATATCAATGATCTGTTGGGAGTAACAACTTGCCCCATCCACAGCTTTGCAGATGATAGTACCCTCCATACTGCGTTCTCTTCCAGAATTCCCATTTCTTCCCAGGAAACTAAGAACTCACGGCGCAGGCAGGTCAATGCTGTCAATGAAGATCTTGCTGAAATCACAGCCTGGGGAACAAACAACCTAGTTGAATTCAACGCCACCAAAACTAAAGCCTGTATTTTCTCTAGAAAGGCGGAACTCAGTATGCCCGATATTGTAATGTCTGGCTCCACCATCCCCACCAAGCCCACCATATCTATGCTCGGTATTTCCATCAGCAACACTCTTTCATGGGATAATCATGTCAGATCCATCGCAAAAGCTGCTTCACAAAAACTCGGATTCTTGTTCCGTGCGAAAAGCTACTTTACACCTCAACAGCTTCTCATGATCTACAAAGCGCAGATACGGCCTGTTCTAGAATACTGTTCCCACATATGGGGTTCAGCACCAAAACATACGCTGATGCTCTTGGATTCCATCCAGAAAAGAGCCATTCGCCTGGTGGGTGACGCCACACTCACTCACTCTTTGACATCATTGGAACACCGTAGAAAGGTAGGCGACCTTTCACTTTTTTATCGATACTTCCACGGGAAATGTTCTTCGAAAAGCTCTGCTATCATCCCTTCACTAGCAATACCAATCAGACGAACTAGACAAGCCCAGTCAGCACATCCTTTCGTTGTCAACCTCGAAAGATGTCGAACAGCACTTTATCAAGACTCCTTCATCCATAGAACGGATAGGCTCTGGAATTCATTGTTTGTGGAAGTATTCCCAACAACATATAATCTCCAAAAGTTAAAAGAAAATCTAGCGGCAATTGATGGTTCAAATGTAACACCTTGTAGTTTGTTACATTTTTAGATTAATGGAAATGAGCTGTTTCCAAACAAGTTTGGTACTTGTGGTGATCTAGCAGACAGAATATGAAAGAAATTATTCCTTATCAATTTAGAAAAAACATAGAGTCGTCTAGTTTTTTGTGAAATATGTCATTATTTGTTTAGTACTTTATTGATGTTCAGTGACAGTTAAGTACTAAATAGAATATTTTTGATATTCGTGAATGTTTCAATTATTGTTCAGATTTAATTTGAAGAAGAAATGGAGTTGAGTGTAAAACAAAAAATAGAAATACTTATGATGATTGGGTATGGAGACAGATCGCGAACTCAGGTGGAAGTGTGCAATTTGTTTAATGATAAATAGCCACGTTAAATGGCGTGGTTAACCGTCAGAATTGTAGATACTGGGCAAAAGAAAACCCCACTGGATGCGTGAGCATTATATACAATACCCGCAAAAGGTAAATTTATGGGACGAAATTGTTAGAAATCGAATCATCGGACCCTACTTTATCGAAGGTAATTTAAACGAGGCAACGTACCTTGAGTCTTTAAGGGGGTATCTCGTACCTACTTTACGTAATTTATTGTCTCCAAGCAGATGTAAACCTGGGGTTTTGATGAAAGTTCATGGTTTCAACAGGATGGTCCACCTCCACATTATGCTGTAGATGTTAGAAGGAACATAGATGAAATTTTTCCGAATAGGTGGATTGGTATGTAGACGTGGACTTAATGGCCAGCGAGGTCACCAGATTTCAATCCTTTGGATTATATTATATGTGGGGCCATCTGAAGAATGTTGTGTTTCAAACGAAACCAGCAAATATTCAATAATTGAAAGAGAGAATTCAGACAGCATAAGCAATATTTATCAAGACACAATAAACAAGGTTCAACAAGAATTTGTATAGTGTTATTTGGGTTACTGTCAAATACAGCAAGGGCTGCAATTCGAACATTTATAAAGTCATGTATTTCATCATATTCTGTCCGCTAGACAATAAGTATTTTTGATAATATTGTTAATTTAACTGATAAAGAATGTTACGCGTTACTTTATGAGCACACACAAAACTATTGTATTTTTGTCCACCCTGTAGACCATTTGGAATCAATATGTGATACATTTTTGGAATCAGCTCAGCTAGAGTAATCCGAAAATTGAGACAAAATGAGGGTGTTCCATTTAAAAAAAATGACGGTGACGTCATTACTCGAAAGTTATTCACCCTGTATATTTAGGATATTATTTTAAAATCCGGTAAATTGAAACCGAAAATCGACGTGTTTTGGGATTATTTCTCAAAATGGCCTGTTCAGCTAAAAATGAATTTGTTCCATACCTTACGGACACACTGTATATTGGATTTCCGTTCATGAAACGATTATCATGTGGCCTAATGCGACTGGTGAGTCTTGTCAAGCCGAAACAGTATATCTTGCGAGGCAATCGATTCACGAAATTCCCCTAAAATATCTCACAATAGGTTACTCATCATTTGTTAGTGCAACAAAAATTCGTGGAATAGATCCAGAATTTTATATTTATTTTTACTAGTCAGAGACACGATATAATATAATGATTTGGTTATCGTACTACACTGGTATACTGACCTAAGAATCGTCAACTACTCCTGGAATATATTGTCTCTCTTTGCAGATTTTTACAGGGTAGGAGGCGTAGAGAAATTTCAAGACAATTGGGTCGACATCAAAAAGTGTGTTAGTTCTAGAGGGCGCAAAACGATTATATTCGACTCGGACCGTTGCGAGTAAGTATTTTCACCTACCTTAGATACTTACATTATCCTCTCTGCACTGCATCTTCATTGTGTGTAATGTTAATCCCAGCAAAATTATACAGAAATTAAATAGCATCATCTCATCCACCTTTTCTGCGCATCCAGTTGTTCAACAATATCAATTTGTTTCATCAAACGTTCAACTTTTTATTGATACCTGCGTATCAACACTCACTTGATTTGATTTATTCAATCTATCATATTCTATCATATTCTATATAAACTATATATCTATATATACTATATAAACTGAGCAACTTTGTACTGAGGTAAGTTTCCTTATTGGGAACATGTGGTAAGTTACTGTAGAATCCTTTTAGGGACACCCTGTGTAGTGAACATGAGTCTGATATTTTCGGTCGATTTTCAGGAGCTTGAATAGGTAATACATAATTTACCGAGAGTAAAAACTGACGTCACTATTTCGTAAGTAGGGGCGTACCATAGCCCAGGTGCCAAGTGTTGAAATACGATTGGGAACTTCAGAAATATTAGTTATTCAATGATTCATAAATTCTCAATTATGTACAAGCAATAAAAAATCAAATAATAATAATAAATAATAACTATATTAATTCACACTAGAAGACATTTGAACCGGTAAAAGTGACAACACGGCGCACGACTTGTAGGCGTGGTCTCTTGTCAGTTCCTAGCATCCAGCACAAAGTTCCCAAGTCTCCAACATTCACATGATATTTGGTTATGGAGAATAAGAAATATGTGGACATGCTGATTGCCCACAGTCAAGAATGAACTATAATATCATGGGTTCCCACTAAGCATATTTGGAAGCTATGTTGATGCAAGGTTGCATCAATTACTGAAACGAACGTTCAGCAATATTGCAAATGTAAATTTGTAAATGCAACGTTTCAGCAATGTCACAGCAACAGGTTATATTGCTGCAACGCTACATTATCAAACTTCACCTTTGCAATATTGCTGAACGTCCGTTTCAGTAATTGCTGCAACATTGCATCAACATAGCTTTCAACTTTGCTTAGTGGGTTCCTCCTATATGTTTTATTCATAACTTGATTATAATTGTTGACTTGAGAACCTTGCTCCATGAGTGGAAATGGAAGATTATTTGACCAATAACGAAACAGCATGAAAACTAACGCCACCATTTATTCGACGAATCGTGGACGTATATCGCCAAATGGCGGCCATTAAGGTTCGTTTGAAATAAGCTCTGAAATTCAAAAATTTCGAACACCGCATAGACTCATTATTTACAAAAAAAGCGTGACGTGTAGCAAAAATTAATTTAGGTTCCTAACGACACAATGGAGTAATTGAATGCCAATAATTCAGTCCACTCGTCCATTCAGAAACCTTTAGTTGTTCAGTAAAAATATGTTGAATCGAAGTTGAAGGTGATTTGTTTAGAGGCGAGCATATATTGAGATATGCATGAAAGGACATGCACACTCTGTATCATGAACACCTTTCATAATTTTGAAAATGTTACAGCTATGTGGAATGGTTCAGGGTATGCACCACGGAAGGCATGAAGAAATCCATCAATAGCACTGCGCCTGCTGAAACAATGAACGAGATGTTCGTCACAATCGAAGAGAAGTATTGTCCAACGAGTGGCTCCAGCACATTGTCCAACAGCATTCCGTTGATCGGTCTGATCATACTATCTCTTCTCAGGTTCACGAATACGATGGAATCGTACATGATCCAAGTATAAACAACACTGGGATGTGCTCTTGAATAAAGGTGCTTCGAATAATTGGCAGCTTCAATTCCTACCCAGACCGATTCAAATCAAGTTTCGAATTACTTAAATTATATTTATTTTCTGAAACACGTATGCCAGTTTGATATAATATAGTACGGAATTGATATGGAACATTAGTAATTCAATTGAATACTGCCCTGATAATTATATTTCTTCTATAATGACGTATCATCACTATCTTCTTCTTCACGTCTGTCGGTCTCAATTTTTTGTCTTGCTTTAGCCAATATAGCCTTCAATTCAGTGGTTCGCGCTGTTTGGAACTGAAAAGAGATGATATACTCATGAATATACAGGGTGAGTCATAACTATTGGGATTTGGGCTAAGGCCGGATTGTTTATCTGACAGTCCAAAGCACACGCTCCATAAAAGAAATAATATTTGAAATCCCCTTCCGAGACTTATTTGAACTGTTCAATTGCGTTTTTCTCGAAAATTGATGAAAATATCGTTCTCAAACAAATCCATTATACGTAGAAATTACGTTTATGTCATATTTTCTAATCAAAATCACTAAAAACTTATCAGTCGATCTCATTATTTGAAATCATTCACAAACTGTAGAATGATACATAAGATAATATTCCCTGTTTAAAATTATGCCCCTGTGCCCATTTTGATAACAATTTACGAATAAACAGTGAAGTAATTATAAGCATGAAACGGAAAAAATATTCAAGTTCAACGCCCGGTATCTTTTTCCACAGCAATATTTTATTTAGTCATATTCGGTCCTATCGTCATATTTGGTCTAAACAATCCGCGATTAGCTTATGTCACAATATTTATGACTCACCCTGTATATTTGCCAAATTCTCATTTTATAGTGAACCCAGCAAACACAGTTATATCACAGAGATATCGCAGCGATGTGACCATTGTGACCTGCGGTATCACATTCTTTGTAGCATAGACATCGCTGTGATGTCAGAGGGATGTTATTTTGTCTTACTCAAGTTTCATCCATGCGACGTCGCTGCGATAAATTCTCTGCGATACAACTGCGATATATTTTTTGCAATGTGATTGCGATGTGTTTTTGCGATAAAACTACGATGTGATGCGACATGACATCGCAGTAAAACGATAAAAAAAGTTTCCCCAAACATATATGGTGTGATAATATAGGTACACCACTGACTTCTGATGACATCTTATATTGATTATGTGTTGATGTAACTGATTGTTGGTCATTCGGGTCTCCTGTCTATTAAATCGTCTTTTCAGCTGCGCTATCCTTGATACCTAAGAATCTCTATCAGAATGAGATCAGTTACTCGTATTTATATCAAAAATTATGTAGTGTGTGTCGGCGTGATGTAAGCAAATAATTTGATGGAATTTGCCTTCACTTTCTTGAGTAACGTATATTCATGTATTGGTTTTCACCGAACAAGAATATAAATAACGAGTTTACTTCTGTACGTCTCAGCGGTGCAACATTGGTGATATCGCATTGTTGCCTCATCATGACATCTTAGAGATATGTCATGTCACATATGTGTTTGCTTCTGTACATCGCAGTGGAGGAACATTTCGTAATATCGCAGTGTTGCATCATCGCGACATCTCAGAGATGTCATGTCGCAACTGTGTCTGCTTCTGATGTTTATAGCAGTGATGTAAGATTCGAAATATCGCAGTGTTTTCCCATCGCGACATCTCAGAGATGTCATATGTCACAGAGATGTGTTGCCTGGGAAGTAGTCCAATAATTGGAAACTCCAGTCGAGACATTGATGGCTAATTGATTGAACGTAATGACTTCTAGGTAAAACAGAAAATACTTTCCATATCAAATACTACAATGATATCTATCTAATTAAAGAAGAATTTTCATGAAAATGGCAATGGAAGGTATCAATCAAGTTCATTTTGGACTGTGAACAGTTTTCGATCCGTTTTTTTTTTTCTTAATATTGATTCGACCGTTACTTGATGGAAATCCATAGTTACCTATTGTAAAAAACTTCACAAACGATAAGATTTTCAATAAATTCGTTACCACACGACATGATTTGCTAACACAGTAGCTTCTTCAAGTAAATCTACAGAATATCAGTCTTACGGAGGCGCTGGAAGGCCAATATAAAATAAATCTATTTCATCTTGCTTAAGAAGCAAGTTCATCTTGCTCAAGAAAAGATATCATCTTGCTTCATAGGCTGATAATCATCTAACCTTTCAATTTATAAAGTGAGGTGATCTCGCTTGAAGTAAGATCATCTTGATTTTTCTAGGTTTAGAAATCCCAAAAAATCTACAAAAATGAATGTACCACCTACAAGCAAGATCGATCTACCTTATAACACAATAAGATGAACTATCTTCTTAAGTAAGCTGATCCTGTTTATTAGGCAGCCCATTTGATAATTATCTAGATTATAAAGCATCTCGCATCTCAAGCAAGAGAATAAACTTGCTTATGAAGGAAGATGATCTAGCTTCTCAAGCAAGATGTTCTTGAATACTGTTTGTAGGTTGGTCGAGGAGGTTGTACATTCATTTTACTAGGTTTATTTGGATACATATAAGAATCAAGCAACGAGAGTACAGCCTATTGAGGAAAGACTAGTGCATTTATCCTCCAAATTCAGTGAAAAAGCCGAAAACAAAAATTTCATCTCCCCATTCTGTATCAGAAGGAACCATTGAAGAACACAATACAAACACCTGGAGCACACTTTATGGGAGAGACTATATAGTGCGATTTTTCTCCTAGTAGACATTTCCATTATGGTAGAGACCAGTTATATGATTTTTTTTTTCACATAGAAACTATGTCATTTTCGTAATCTTTATATGTATATATACAACTTGAACTGTGGCTGAAGGACCTCGGTCAATGGCCCTTCGAGTATTTATACTCAATGAAGTTCATTTTGTTGTTGTTGTTAAGAATCAAGATGATCTTGCTCATCAAGCGAAATAATCTTACTTCATAAACTGAATATAGGCCAGATGATTATTAACTTGATGATCCCCCTTATTCAACAAGCTGATTCTGCTCATTTAGGCAAGATAAATATCTTGTATATTGGTAAAAAAATGGCCCATTTGAAGATGAATCCATATACTGAATTTGAATGCAAAATATTCATCATTCTTGAGTTATTGCGAGAAAACTATTTTTATTTATCAACTGAACAATTGACGAAGACCGTATTTCCCAATTTCGCCCATTATGAAATCACGAGGGCTATCACCTAGAAATTGTTCTAAAATTGTTCTATCCGTCATTCGGTTGCCCCCTTACGAGCAACCCTCAGAAGTCTTCGAATGTCTTGTGCGAGCAAGGAATGACGGGGGCCTTACCTTTTAAAGTGTGATCCCAAACACTTTCTTAGGCCATCAGAAAAAGTCTGCGTTCGTGGGACTCGAACCCACGATCGATACCTCGACGTGAATCGATATTGAAGCATCGAAGCACTGAGGTACGCCGGCCTACCTGTCAAGCAAGATGATCTCGCTTCTTAGGCGAGATAAAAAAATCCCACCAGCCCTCCCCGGCGCATCCGAACACCCCAATAAAACTCACCCCGCTGATGGACTTCTGCAAGTTCAGCTGCGAGTACAGCCTCCGACCCTCCTCCTTGCCGCATATCCTCTCCAACTCGACCTTCTTGAACCCCAACAGATCGTGCCCGCTGACTCCGGCGAACTTGTTCCTTATGCTCTCGTCAAAAGCCTTCGCCTTCAGCCAATCCCTCACCTCCGAAGGGGTCGACCGCTGATCGACGTACGCCTCTGCGGTCTGCTTGATGTCCAGGTGCTTCTGCTTGGCTTTTTCTCGGACCAAAGTCAGCACGCTGGTCAGTTCCTCGTGCATCGTAGATTTGTTCGATACTATCGATTGCCTGGATTGCGTCCGGCGCAACGGCTGAGGGGTTTCCGGGGGTGGGGGAGTGACGGGTGGGGGAAGTGGAGGTGGTGGGGGGGCGTTTTCGTTCGGGTCTAGAGAAGAGGGGGTTATTAGGTGATGGTCAGTGAAGACGGTTGTCTGATGATACCTATGTGGATAGCGATGCCAAAATGTAATAGACGTTATCCATATTGGTATTATTAGATATCACAAATAGAGAGAAACTCAAAGTCATTACCACAATAGTTCATAAAATGAACGAAAATGGTAGATAACGAGAGAAAAACAACTACTTTCCTGGCTATATGTCACGCAGAACATTGCATTACATCCTCCCGAAATCTATGCAATAATTCGTATATACGAATGAAATCGCAAGTGTTTCCTTCCAGCTCGAAAACAGTCTGCAGGTAGTCACAAGTTCATGAACCACTTAGGAGCAGCTCGGCGTTTAGGAAGCAAACACTTGCGGTTTTATTCGTCCATACAAATTATTGCATTGATTTCGGGAGGATGTAATCCAATGTTCTGCGTGGCATATAGCCAAGGAAAAGTAGTTGTTTTTCTCTCGTTATCTACCATTTTCGTTCATTTTATGAACTATTGTGGTAATGACTTTGAGTTTCTCTCTATTTGTGACCATTGCATTCCACTTTGAGTAGGTATTTGGCTCTTTTCTAGTTGATCATTAGATATGTTGGCGAAGCAAGCTCGATTGAATATAGAGTGACGACAATACACCTCCAAATGGCTGGCGTTTCCGGAATGTAATTCGTGGTCAAGTCACTGAATAGCTACGTTGGGTTTCTCCCTCCTTGTGTCCATTTCATTCCACTTTGAGTATTTGGCTCTATACAACGGTCTATTTTTTTTTTCGGTGACTCCATATCCGCAAGAGCGCTGTCGAATGATTAAAATTTTATTGGAATTTTTGTCTAAATTATTGGTGATGGTAGGTACTGTTTTATTGTATCACTTGTTTAGTTGATTTACCTAAATTTAAAATGGTTTTTTCATACGGTAGGTACTCTGTTTCTCATTGTATTGTATTGGCGGATAATTCAGTCATGAAATACTTTTTTTAAATGTAGGTAAATTAACTGTACAAGCAATGTACAATAGAACAGTACCTGCCATAAATAAAAATATAGACAAAAATTCCAATACATTTTTAAATGTTCTACTTTTCTTTTTGCTGATATATGGCTTAACCGAACTTGAAAGAAAAATAGACAGTTGTAAAGACTTAAAATACCTATCTAACAAGGTGCAACTTGACCCCTTGTACAAATTAAAAATTTTGAAAAGGTGATCTGTCGGGTAGGACGTTGACAGGTGGTTGAAAATTTTCATGTGAAAATAATGATATTCGAAAGAAAATAAAAATGGACCACTCCGAGGGTTTTTTAAAGTACATTTCATGGAAATACGGAGTTTATTCCAACATGGGTTTCCACACTGTATATATTGGCTAAGCAAGCTCGAATTAAGCGTGAAACACAAGAAAAACATAAGCTGTGCATTTTGGACATGGTAACGACTGTACTTTCTTAAAAAATCTAACAATAGTACTTATGAAAAGTTGTGAAAATCGCCTGACAATATCGCGTGTAACATCAGGATCATGGTACACCAATCAATTTTGATGAACTTAAATTGGTGACAAATCAGGAAATTTGACATTTTTTGCAGGATTCAATTTATTATTGCATTACACCTGTCAATATGAGTACATCAGATTCGATCAGAATAGTCACGGCAAACTAAAATGGAGAATAAAAAATGAAATTATATCATTGGATTCAGAAAATGGCGCAGAATTCGAAAATGCAATGGGTCGTCCATTTGAATATCAAAACTTATAACCACTTCGGGTGAAACCGGAAGTAGAAAATAAAACATTAACGTCAAAACGTGATGTTCATGGTTGATGGGTCATTCCAAATTCCAATTACTTATCTCTACAACTGAAGAACAAAAAGGGGGTTGAGAACACTATTCAGAAAAAAGAAATTGTAGAATACTGCCCCTATTACAAATATATTGAAATAATACTGATATTTTCGTTAATAGAAACGAGGAAAGAATAATATTCCATTAAAATAGGAAAATTACACATTTCATGTTGTTATATTGACACTGTGTTGTATTGAACAAATAATAACGTCAATAATAAAAAAATATACTCACATATATTTTGCACGATTTCTGTGTTTCATTAATGCTCATTCGCTGGATCATGAAGAATTCAATAATAAAACCAAGTTTGTTCCATCAATTATGCTGTTTCATCATACTTACATGTGTTTCCTTTCTAATTACTGAAAATATACGTACAGTGCGGTTTCGAGAACCGCAATTAAACAATGCGTAACGTTGCGGAAGAACCTAGTTTTTTCTTGTCTATTGTCTAAAAAGGAATGTATATACTCTGCGATCGTACTGTATATAAGTAGTGGGAATGAAAGAATAGACATTCAATACCTCAAAATAAATCAGAATAACTATGAATTTATTACTATACCTTCAAATATAATACCATTTCAGCCTTCTGAATATTCGAAAATCTGATTTTCCATAGCAAAACACTGAAAACACAACACCTACACGATATGTATCTCAATCCGTATACATATACGGTCATTGGACAAGAGTAGAAGTGACTTATTTCAGTGGGGATATAATTTGGATCAAATATAATTACACATATAAATAAATTTATTAGTTGAAGATGTGTACACATAGATTTAAAATACATATAGATTCTTCTCCGTAGGTAAATATAAAAATATACAAAAAGTATAAAAGATAATCATATAAATAATACATTCATAATTTGAGTAACTTATATTTGAATATATGACGTAATTTGTTAAAAAATATATATTGTAGGCAGTTTTTCAACATAACAACGTGAACAATCGCCATGTAAATTATAACAGAGAACGCAAACGCCTTATTAATAAATGAAATGTATTTACTTTGAAATGATATAGAGAAGTAATATTCTCAATCTCATACCAGAAATGGTATAGTAGAGTTAATTCAAATAATTTGGATCAGAAGCAATGATAAAAATTATTTTGATGAAGAAGTGGATACCTGCCAAGCAAGTAGTTACGAATCATAAGGATCTTGAATTGCTGAACCAGTAATCATATTAGATAACCGGATTGATTACTACGTACTGGGTAATCAGCAGTTGACAAAAAATAGTTTTTTGTTGTGTTATGCTGTGACATGGCTGTGATTAGAGATGTTATCCACCTAGATTATCGACTCTACGTCAAATAATATTGTACATTCAAGTGTTTTTGCTTACGTGAAGTACTCTGTACAGATGGATTTATAGAATGAAAAATGTATATACATTCAGATGTTGGACGGAATACCAAAAATTACACATACACAAAATAAACACAACAAAACAAAAATAATGAAACATCAAATGCAGACATCATACATATGTAACAACAAATGGTGGCGGCGTTTAGAAATATCGAAATTCTCCTTTCTTACCGATCCTCTCATTTCTTATCCAGTCCGCGCTATTTTTCGGTGTGGACGGACTGTCTTGCGCGCTATTCCCACTCATATATGGTTCTGAAGGCGATTCCTAAATAACAAATGATTGAATAGATATTTGTTTATCGCATTGCATAGTTCTAGTGAAAATCTTGGTATCAATCTTGAAATTAGCACGCTGACCAGAAGAAGATAGAAAATATCAATTCAGCAGTTGATAGACATGTGAATGTAATCAGTAATCTGGATAAATTACTTGTTGAATAGGTTTAATTAAACCGAGTGCTACTGATGAGCCATGTTTACCCGAGACAGTATCTTGCTCTAGAAAAAAAATACTCACTGGTCTTCTATTGTAGTTCTGACTGTACAATGGGTTACTAAAAACGTAAGGTGTGACTATGGTATGGGGAACGTGGGCAATTTGTCCTCTACTGTTTCTCGCCCTCCACCATTTTCTAGTGTCGTCCAAAATCTGAAACAGGAAGAATAATTGATGTAACGACTTTCCAACGTCTCGAAAGGAAATTGTTAAATATGTTAGCATCTTCAGTAGACGATTAGGATTTTGATGTGTTAACCTGGCCGTGAAGGATATTAGGATATTACCTATTTGTAATCGATCTGTTATGGTTTATTCAACATGCTAATTATATTTTTTCGAAATTTTTGATTCGTAATGAAGGTTAAATGGACCACCTTAATAATTGTCCTGCAGTTTAGTAAGGAATAATATGGTTATTGTTATTTGAAGCAGATTTATTGAACCATCACGGACATTACAAGTAATCAAGTAGAATTTCAGAATCAAATGGTAAATTTCAATGTTCACCTGAAGATGATAACATAAAGGGTGTCCCAAATACAAATCTGCCATCTTGAAGAGGTAATACGGGAAATATTTTCAATCATAGTTGTACAAAACTCTCCTTCGTCAGATATTTTTTGTTGCAATCACTCTTTTTGTTCGGTAGCAGAAACACTTTGTTCAATTCAAAATGTTTATTTGTGGCCAACAATTGAAGGAATTGCAACAGAACTAATTAACGAAAGACAGTGGCGTCCAATCGCATAAAGAATGGGCGAGTGGACTGATAATAAATTATTGGCATGCACTGTGTCATTAGGAACCTAAATTAATTTTTGCAATACTTCTCACGCTTTTCTTACGTAAACAATGTGTCTATGTGTTGTTCGAAATTGTTGAATTTCAGAGCTCATTTCAAACGAAACGCCATGGCCGCCCATTTGGCGATACGTGGAATGAATGGTGACGTCAGTTTTCATGCTGTTTAGTTATTGATGGTCAGATAATCTTCCATTTCCACTCATGAAGCAAGGTTGCCAAGTCACCAATTATGATCAATAATCAAAAAGTTGTTACGAGTCCTGTCGTTGAATAAAACATAATAGGAGGAACCGATGATATTATAGTTGATTCTTGACTATTTCCGCAACCAGCATGTCCAAATATTCCTTATACGCCATAACAAAATATCATGTAGATGTTGGAACTTGGCAACATTGTGCTGAATGCTGAGAACTGAGAAGACCACGCCCACAATTCGTGCGCCATTGTTGTCACGTTTACCGGTTCAAATGTCCTCTAGTGTGAATTAATATGATCATTATTTACACGAATGTATTATAACCAATGAGCTCCAACACATGAGGGAACATTTTGAGTCAACTGATTTTTTAATGCTAATTAGGAATATTACCGAGAATTTATGGATAATTGAATAACTAATATTTCTGAAGTTCCCAATCGTATTTCAACACATGGCAACTGTGCTATGGCCTGCCCCTACTTAGGAAATCGTGGCGTCAGTTTTTACTGGCGGTAAATTTCTAGCCGTTTGAAAATTACAGTGGCATTATTGATGATGAAACCTTAAAATCGATCGAGAAATTCTAAAAAAATATGAAATTGAAAGGTATTTGAGTGATGATTCTATTTGAGAAATTGGGAAATAAAAAAAATAGTCCACTCGTCTATTGATTTAGTTTTTTCGATATGATACAAAACATTTCATTACTTCACATATCAAACGGCTCAATTGCGGCCAAACTTTCACCAACCAAAAAATGTTTTTGTTTTGATCTATCTAACCACCCCTTCAAGTTTGTATGCTTCCCTAACCCCGCACAAGTTTCAACATATGAAGCGTTGGTTATAGTACTGGGTTCAACGAGGGAATGCAAATAAAAAATAAATATATACTAATATTATTAAGAGGAGAGATTTGATTGGTTGTTTGTTTGTTTGTATGTATTGAATAGGCTCCGGAACTACTGGATCGATTCGGCTGAAAATTGGTGGGGAGGTAGCTTAGAACCAGGAGAAGGTTATAGGATACTTTCTATCCCGGTACCATTAGGAAACTCAAGATGGCGGATCTAACATATCGGACGAGTTTTGTAATTATGGCCCGATTCTGTTAAAAATTTGTATCTGAGGGGTTTTCGGGGTCGAAGATCATGATTCGTCCGTCAGAATTCGAAAATTCGGGCGGAATTTGGAAATTCAAGATGGCGGAACCAATATGACGGACGAGTTGTGCAATTATAATCCGATTCTTTTCAAAATTGGTACCTAATGGTATTCGTGATCGGGGATTATGATTTCTTCGTCAAAATTAGGAAATTCAAGATGGCGGATCCAAAAAGCGGATTTTGTAATTAGGATCCGATTTTATTCAAATTTGGTATCTGGTGGTTCTCGGGGTCGGAGATTATGATTCTTTCGTCAAAATTAGGAAATTCAAGATATCGGACCCAATATGGCGGACGAGTATTGTAATTATGATCCGACTCTCTACAAAATTGTTATCTGGGTGTTTTCGGAGTCGGAGATTATGATTCTTTTTTCAGAATTTGGATAGGGCGGGATTTGGAAATTCAAGACGGTGGAACCAATATACCGGACGAGTTTTGAAATTATATACTGATTCTATTCAAAATTTGTGAGTGGGCGTCTTCGGGATCGAAAATTATGATTCCTCCTTCGTCAAAAATAGGGGAATTCAAGATGGTAGATCCAATATTGAGGACGAGTTTTGTAATTATGTTCCGATTCTATTCAAAATTTCCATCTGGGGTTTTAGGAGTCAGATATCATGAGTCTTTCGTCAAAATTGGGATATTCAAGTGAACTAAAAGAAGTTGAAATAAATGGTAGTTTAACAAACTAAAGAAACACGCTTTTATAGATAGCGAAACTAAAAAGAATAAATAGAAAATGAAATAATAATAGTGTCTTGATGAATATTGAACTGAAAAAATATATACATGAAAAAACAAAGCTTGCGAGGTCTGCTAGTGAAAAATAAGAGGAATGAAAAAAAAAAGTGATACAGACCTCGAGAAATTCCCCTCTCGCCACCGTCAGCTCCTTATCGTTGTTCGCCGTCCTCGGATAGGTGACCTGCACGATATTCGCCCCCCTGTTCTGCAGCTCCTCCAAGAACCCCTCCTGGTTCCTGCCGAACCCGCGCTCCTCCCCGTTATGGTGCTCGATCGAGTCGGCGGAGATGTCGCTGCGCGTGCTGTCGCCCTGTATATGTGCATCTTTCTCCTGGCCCGTCCGCTCGTAGATCTCCTGGCTGGGGTAGTCGTTGTAGTCGCCGCTGTATTGGCCCTCCTGCTGGTACGGCTTGTGTTCGGGGTCTTCCTGGATCGGGTACTCCGGCGACCAGCCGTCCATGAATACGGGGTGATAGGTCGGTACGTGGCCTTTGTATTGGTCCCTGGAAATATCGCCATTGTGTCAATCGAAGATGGAATAACAAATTACAATTTGGCGCCCAACGTGGGGTACAGGGCTATCAGTTTTATCGACTTAATGATATACAGTGTGTCCCACTTACCATGCTCACCATGGGTATCTTTTTAACGGTGAGAGATACGAGGTCGGTTAAATGACACCAAATGTGGAGTTTGTCAAGGACAACTATAATGTGAAAAAATATTTTGATAAAATCTATTCGATTTTGTTTTATACGCAAAAAACAGATTTTGATCATTTTCATGTCTCCTCCGTAGCTTCTTTATTTATGAAAATATTCAAATAGAAATTTCACATTCTCATGGCAGTTTTTCAAAATGATTACGAAAAAAATATGATATTTATACCAACTCTTTTAGAATTTGAGATATCAGCACCAGCTTTAGTTTTTCAAATGTAGGTCATAGCTCACTATGACTTAGTTACAAATAACTTTTTTCTCTCTTACATATGATATGTCGCAGTTATAGTTTTGTGTTGATAACAACGGAGTTATCGTCATGTATACAAAAACAAAACATTATTTGGAAGCCGCCATCTTGAATTTATGAATTTTAACAAAAAAAATTATGATCTCCGACCTCAAAAACCTCCACTTACCAATTTTGAATGGAATCGGACCAAATCTTCTCCGCCATCTTGAAGCAGCCATTTTTTTTTTAATTTCAACAAAAATTCCATAATGAATTGTCACCAAAATTATGAACACCTGCCAAATTTCAAGTTCATCGAAGTTATGGAATTTTCGCTGAAATTAAAAAAAATGGCTGCTCCAAGATGACGGACAAGATTTGGTTCGATTACATTCAAAATTGGTAAGCGGGGGTTTTCGAGGTCGGAGATCATGATTTTTTTGTTAAAATTTATGAATTCAAGATGGCGGCATCCAAATCATTTTTTGTTTTTGTATAAATGACGATAACTCCGTTGTTATCAACACAAAACTATTACTGCGACATATCATCTGTAAGAGAAAAAAAAGTTATTTGTAACTAAGTCATAGTGCGCTATGAGCTACATTCGAAAAACTAAAGTTGGTGCTGATATCTCAAATTCTAAAAGAGTTGGTATAAATTTCATATTTTTTTCGAAATTATTTTGAAAAACTGCCATGAGAATGTGAAATTCCTATTTGAATATTTTCATGAATAAAGAAGTTACGGAGGAGACATGAAAATGATCAAAATCTGTTTTTTGCGTATAAAACAAAAACGAATAGATTTTATCAAAATATTTTTTCACATTATAGTTGGCCTTGACAAACTCCACATTTGGTGTCATTTAACCGACCTCGTATCTCTCACCGTTAAAAAGATACCCATGGTGAGCATGGTAAGTGGGACACACTGTATAGACAGGGTGAGTCAAGCTGAACGCATCGGGCTAAAATGGCCAAATGGATTACATTTTAAAAATTGTGTAATGATTACAGAGTGTCTCGAGTAAAGGTGGCATATATTTTGAAATGACAGTGCCTGACAATATAAAACACCCCGTATAATATTAATCGATCACTTATGTCCCATCTATTAGCTCGAAATATTCGAAGTACACTGGTAAATTATCGTGCTTCAATGATATCAAGGTTATGTTAATACCTTACATTTTTAGAAAAATTAAAAAATATGCCACCTTTTCCCGAGACACTCTGTATTCATCACACCATTTCCAAAATGTAGTCCAGATCGACATAATTTCGCCTGAATAAAATTATTCCTCAGAAAGTTCACCGTTTGGCCATTATAGCCCGATGCGTTATGCAGCTTGACTCACCCTATACAGGGTGTCCACTAAAAGGAGGTCAATTCATTAACCATATATTCCTTGAACAAAAACAATATGAGTTTCTGAATACCATTTTTCATTTTAGCCCTTCATATTCGATATACAGGGTGTCAAAGTTGGAAATTAAAAACTGTTTATTTCTAATTACTCGCGTATTTGATAAGATATCAATCTCAAAATTGGTACATTACTTCAGCACAAAGAGTTACATCGTGTGAGGAAAACATAACAGAAAATAACTGTCAAATATTCAAAATACTGGGGGTCAAGTACACACTTACTCCCATATTTTTTTTGTACGTGCGCTAATGACTTCCTATCTATTTTCCTTCAAGTGTTCAATCATTTTTGAGTAATTTGTGTTTCTTGTAAAATTTCGATTAAATCATTTGTTTTTAAGATAATTCGAAAAGTACTGGTTATTGTTTGATGCCTATGCGGCTTACGGTAATCTCATAATGTTCACATACTCCTATTTATTTCGTCGAAATTGGAAGAGGGCGTATCTTTTTACGTACGAAAAGGTAAATATGGAAATACCGGGTGCTCAGAGCGAATGTATTAAAATAATTTTTACAATTTTTCAATTTTTTTTTCTGTAAAAATTATTTTAGTACATTTGCTCTGAGCACCCGGTATTTCCATATTTACCTTTTTGTACGTAAAAAGATCCGCCCTCTTCCAATTTCGACGAAATAAATAGGAGTATGTGAACATTATGAGATTACCGTAAGCCGCGAGGCATGAAACAATAACCAGTACTTTTCGAATTATCTAAAAAAACAAATAATTTTATTGGAATTTTACAAAAATCTAAAAATACTCAAAAATGATTGAACACTTGAAGAAAAATAGATAAGAAGTCATTAGCGCACGAACAAGAAAAATATGGGGGTAAGTGTGTACTTGAACCCCAGTATTTTGAATATTTGACAGTTATTTTCTGTTTTGTCTTCCTCACACGATGTAACTCTTTGTGCTGAAGTATGTACAAATTTTGAGATTAATATCTTATTAATTACGCGAGTAATTAGAAAAAAAACAGTTTTTAATTTCCAACTTTGACACCCTGTATATCGAATATGAAGGGCTAAAATGAAAAATGGTATTTAGAAACTCATATTATTTTTGTTCAAGGAATATATGGTTAATGGATTGACCTCCTTTTAGCAGACACCCTGTATATATTTTATCGAACTTCTCATTGGAAACCATCTAGATCGGCATAAAATGCCACGAGGATTCCGAATCAACGCACATTTGTGTCCCTAATCGAACGGATTACAAAGATACTGATTTTCCCGCCAGTTTTCAAAAACTGCTGAATTTTTCCTCAAAACCCTTCAAGATCAACTTAGAATTTCACGAGTATACCGAATCAATACACACTTGTGTCTCTAATCTAACAGAAAACAACGTTAGTGTCGTTAGTGATTCTCCCGCCAAATGGGTTGGGATTCAAAAATTTGCAGGAGCAGGAAATATACTGAAAATAAACACTATGACGAAGTGGAGTCATCATCAATGATATAAACTGCTCGCCAACAGCCACGGAACCACCCACATTTCCGGAAAATGATATTAGGAGGCAAGATAGGTTGAAAATCACTTTGGATTCGAAATCAGGACGTCCAATTCACTGACTATTCATATTTTCCTTGAACAATTTCAGTTCTGAAATATTAAATTTTGTCCCGTATTTTACGTCATCGATTTCATCTTTGGACTATTCCTTTTTCCGGCAAATTTCAGCACCCTACCTTAACAATTACGTTATTCATGAAAAGTGTGACAACATTCAATTTTTCAGAACTGAAAATTTTCCAGGAAAAATGTGAATAGGTAGTTAGTGAATCCTGATTTCGAAACCGAAGTAATTTCCAACCCATCGTGCCTCCTAATATCATTTTCCGGGAATGTGGGTGGTTCCATGGCTGTGAATATCACTGAAGACCTTGTCATAGTGTTTATTTTCAGTATATCTCCAGCTCCTTCAAATTTCAGAATCCTAACTTAACAATAACGAAAGAACATGAGTGCTTCACTAGAGGTGATACCTATACTGTATACAAAATCCTGGAAATATTCAAGAATAGTAATAGAGTTGTGAATAAGGATAATGAACCTATTCCATGCCATCTCTTATCGCTATGCCATCTCTTATCGAGTTTTCTTTCAGGCAGATCGCTTCACGTGGTGGTGGACGGTGTATCGTCTAATACCATTGGCATCAATTCCGGCGTTCAATTTTGGCACCAACATTATTCCTGCTTCATATCAATGATCTGTTGGGAGTAACAACTTGCCCCATCCACAGATTTGCAGATGATAGTACCCTCCATACTGCGTTCTCTTCCAGAATTCCCATTTCTTCCCAGGAAACTAAGAACTCACGGCGCAGGCAGGTCAATGCTGTCAATGAAGACCTTGCAAAAATCACAGCCTGGGGAACAAACAACCTAGTTGAATTCAACGCCACCAAAACTCAAGCCTGCATTTTCTCTAGAAAGGCGGAACTCAGTATGCCCGATATTGTAATGTCTGGCTCCACCATCCCCACCAAGCCCACCATGTCTATGCTCGGCATTTCCATCAGCAACACTCTTTCATGGGATAATCATGTCAGATCCATCGCAAAAGCTGCTTCACAAAAACTCGGATTCTTGTTCCGTGCGAAAAGCTACTTTACACCTCAACAGCTTCTCATGATCTACAAAGCGCAGATACGGCCTGTTCTTGAATACTGTTTCCACATATGGGGTTCAGCACCAAGACATACGCTGATGCTCTTAGATTCCACTCAGAGAAGAGCCATTCGCCTGGTGGGTGACGCCACACTCACTCACTCTTTGACATCATTGGAACACCGACCTTTCACTTTTCTATCGATACTTCCACGGGAAATGTTCTTCGGAAATCTCTGCTATCATCCCTTCACTAGCAATACAAATCAGACGAACTAGACGAGCCCAGTCAGCACATTCTTTCGTTGTCAACCTCGAAAGATGTCGAACAGCACTTTATCAAGACTCCTTCATCCATAGAACGGCTAGGCTCTGGAATTCATTGCCTGTGGAAGTATTCCCAACAACATATAATCTCCAAAAGCTCAAAAAAAATTCCAATACCTACCTCCTGTCCCTATATCCTCCCTAGGAACGCACGATGTTCTTTGAACATTATAGGAATTCCCTTTCGTGCGCTCCAAGCGACAAAAAAATATATGTGTTGAACATAATAAATAAAAAAAAGTCCTCTGTGTATAGTTTAGTGATTTAGGATTAGTATCTTTCACCTTACCTCGGTATGAGCCACGCGCTGCCGAGCGAATGCCACAGCTCCGTCTCCTTGCTCGTGACGCAGTTCATGAGCAGATTGACCGCCTCGCGCGTCAGCAGCGGCGCCACCACGTTGTGCGGCACGCGCAGCTCGAAATAGGTGTCGTGCGCAGCTTCGACGATGAGCGCGAGCGGAGTGAACAGGAAATGGACGAGTTCGGGCGCGTTCGGGTCGTGGATGTGCGCCTTGAGTTTGGCGAGCAGGTTGAAGGAGAGCTTGAACTTTTGGAAGATGTCGACGAACTCCTTCTCGGGCGGCGGTTTGGTGCGCATGGTGAGCATGCCGTCGCCCATGTCGCGCTTTTTGTTCTTCCGGGATTTGCGGCGGCGTTCCAGCTCTCTGCGATCAGATCAATCAATCAAAAATGTGCTCTATTGTCGAAGGAAGATTTTCTTATCGACAAAGATACGCACACTAAAAAAAAACGGCCTCAATTGATCGCCTTATATATTTTTCAAGACTTGTCCAATTTTGGTGTTTCGATCAAATCATATATTCATGTTTCACCATGGTAACTTTCTGACGCCCTGTGGAAAAGTGGGTCATTAAACTTAACTTTATTATATTTCGGATTGAAGTGTGATCCTTTCCGTATCTTGTTTTCAAGAGAACATACAAGTTTCATAAGAAATTAAAAAACATGGTGGGAATATGCGTTATTAATTTTTAGAAGTTGTTTCAAGTTGTTAATCAATATAAATTCATGTAGGTTCTGAATTATTACTAATGAGAATCAAAAAACCCATACTTCCTCAAAACATTTTTATCTCCAACTACGGAATAGCCACAATGCTCAAAGTGGAATAAAATGTTAAAAAAATACAAAAAGCTCAAAGTCATTTCCACGCAACAATGGTAGATTTCGAGAGAAAAATAACTATTTTCCTGGTTAATGCCACGCAGAACATTGAATTACATCCGATTAACTTGAAATTTGGCAGGTGCTCATGATTTCGGTGACAATACATTATGGAATTTTTGTTGAAATTAAAAAAAATGGCTGCTCCAAGATGGTGGACAAGATTTGGTCCGATTCCATCCAAAATTGGTAAGTGGGGGTTTTTGAAGTCGGAGATCATGATTTTTTTGTTAAAATTCATAAATTCAAGGTAGCGGCTTCCAAATAATTTTTTGTTTTTGTATAAATGACGATAACTCTGTTGATATCAACACAAAACTATTACTTCGACATATCATCTGTGAGAGAAAAAAAAGTTATTTTTAGCTAAGTCATAGTGAGCTATGGCCTACATTTGGAAAACTAAAGTTTTGGTGCTGATATCTCAAATTCTAGAAGAGTTGGTATGAATTCCATATTTTTTTCGAAATCACTGCCATGAGAATATGGAATTCCTATTCGAATATTTTCATGAATAAAGAAGTTACGGAGGAGACATGAAAATGATCAAAATCTGTTTTTTGCGTATAAAACAGAAACGAATAGATTTCATCAAAATATGTTTTCACATTATAGTTGGCCTTGACAAACTCCACATTTGGTGTCATTTAACCGACCTCGTATCTCTCAGCATTAAAAAGATACCCATGGTGAGCATGGTAAGTGGGACACATTGTATATCCATTTTTTGTCCTATTTCTGAATGTTAACTGAGACTGGCTTGTGTATATTACCAATGTATTTGTTGTTATATGTTTGTGATATGTAATTCAAATGCAATAAAAATTATTATTATTATTATTATTATAACCGTCATACCTGGCGGCTGCGGCCGCGTGCTGCAGTCTGGCGATGAACTTCTCGATGTCGTCGAAACAGTGGTTGAGTATCGTCACGTCCCGCTCGTACTTCTCGCTCGTCGTCGAGCTGGCGTCGTCGTTGTTCGCCGTCAGTTCCGAGTCCGAGCCGTGATAGTCCCTCTCTCTATCCCTCTCCTTGTCCCTCTCTCTGTCCCTCTCCTTGTCCCTGGGAAGTTCGCGCGTCGGGTTGACGATGTTCTGTGGGGCGCGAAACGTCGGCGGCGGGATGCTGCTCTTGCGGCTGCGCGTTGGCGCTTTGCCCATGCGCAGCTGCATCAGGTCCTCGGCCAGGTCTTGGGCCGATATACTTTGGCACTAAAGATAGCCAAGATATACAGGGTGTCCCACTAAGGTCGTCGAGGTACGATATCTTGGAAACCATAAACCTCAGGACTTCGAGGAAAAAAAATTAAGAACTAAATCGGCCAAGAAAAATTGATAGAAAATATTTTCAAGCTCATAAAACGACCGCTAGGGGGCACAATCTTTATGATAAAACTGAAAATTGAATTTTTCTCGAAAACCATTATATTAAGATACTGTTTCAATGACTGAAATGCAGAGTTCATTGAAATTCGCGTCAGTTTGTTTCCGGACTTTTTTTCATATCTTGAAAAATAAAGGTGGGGGAAGCTGGTGAAGAAATCATTTTAGAAAACGCTTCATCTCCGATATCCTTCCTTCAAATTCGATCAACTTGGGCTCATGTGGAAGAGAATTTCACACCAATTCAAACACTGAATTTGACATTGATCTCTAGTTCACACAGCGTCTACTAGATGGCGTCGTTCACCAAATATTCCGTTTTTTTTATTTTTTTCCAAAAAAAATCGAATGGAATGATACATATTTTGATCAACAGATTTGAAATGCATTGAATTAGCTGCATTTTGGCGAAAACCGTGATTTGATATCGTTATCCGTTATCCAGTTATTCTCGAATAACAAAATTTTATTAAAAAAAATCATGTTCAATCTTGAACAAATTCTCTGATTTGTGTTATCTTAAGTAAAACTGCATTTGAACGAAAGAATTAGCAACTTCATCATATTCACCTGCGCTATGGATTAAAATGCTTATTTATCGTTCCATGTGCAAAATAATAATAATTGATGCAATTACCATCTCCTCACTGATGTCAAACTTCATACTTATTACAGTTAGCAACTATCTGCATTGAAGTATGATTGTTTCTATAGGTATCACGATAAAAGTAGAGGAATAGGAGATTTGTAATGTGAACATGATTTCTTTTGAATAAAATAACTCGAAAACGGATGAATATATCGAATCGCGGTTTCCGCCAAAATGTAGCTAATTTTATGCGTTTTGGATCTGGTGATCAAAATATGTAGCATCCCATTTGATTTTTTTGGAAAAAATAAAAATATCAGAATCTTGATAGAACGACGCCATCTAGTAGACACTGTGTGAACTAGAGATCAATGTCAAATTCAGTGTTCAAATTGGTGTGAAATTCTCTCCCAAATGAGCCCAAGTTGATCCAATTTGGAGAAAGGATATCGGAGATAAAGTGTTTTCAAAGATGATTTCTCCACCAGTTCCCTCCACCTTCATTTTTCAAGATATGAAAAAAAGTCCGGGAACAAAATGACGCGAATTTCAATGAACTCTGCATTTTCGTCATTGAAACAGTACCTTAATTTAGTGATTTTCGGGAAAAATTGAATTTTTTGTTTTATCATAAAGATTGCGCTCCCTAGCGGTCGTTTTATGAACTTGAAAATATTTTCTATCAATTTTTCTTTGCCGATTTAGTTCTTAATTTTTTTCCCTCGAAGTCCTGAGGTTTATGGTTTCCATGATATCGTACCTCGCCGACCTTAGTGGGACACCCTGTATACAGGCTGATTAACGGTGGAAGGCACATAAGTCGTTTCTGGAGAACGTAACTTGGGGTTATTATGAAAATTTGGTGCCTTGGATAATGAGTTGTGCTCTATCGACCTGAAATATTCTCAACGCTGCAACGTTGCCGCTTATATTGAAAAGTAGCAACAACTTTGATATTTTTGTATAGGACACCCTGTATATTATTCCATTTTCAGATTCTTCTTGAAGAGCTGATTTCATTGACCTATAACACTTGGGGTCTAGCAGTGACAACTACAGAGATATAGGGTGTGTAAAATCTAGATTTTTCAACTTTAAGATTTGTTTGTGTCGAAACTATTCATAATTGGTCAAAACGGTTTCTATGTCCCTATCTCAACTTTTCATTTACTATCAATCGATATTTAATTGAAATAGGTACAGGGTGGTTCTGAATTGAGATTTTCAACCACCCTATATCTATTTCAATTGAATATCAATTGATAGTACATGAGAAGGTGAGATAGGGACATAAAACCGTTTTGACTAATTATGAATAGTTACGATACAAGAAATTCTTGAAGTTTAAAAATCTCGATTTTTCACACCCTATATATTTGTTACCATTCCCGCTTAAAACCAAGTGTGATAGATTCGGCGTAAAATTCTCAGTATGTTTCATGTATCGCATCATTGAAATTGAACAGTTAAGTATGATACTGCTGAATACATTATTGATAGACCTTTCAATGAGGTATTACAAGACCTAAATGTCAATTGAAAGAAATCAACGATGACGTCACCGTGTCAGAACTGGTGACGTCATCATTTTCGCACGATTAATGAAAAAATCGCCATCTAAAATTAAAAATCGACCTAATTGTGACTCAAGAAAGAGTTACGACCATCATTTTCATTTTTTCAAACCATTTTTTTTGTTAAATCTCAATGATGCGATACATGAAACATACTTAGAATGGTACGCTGAATTCAAAAATCAAATAAAAAAACAATGTTTCCATGTAAAAAAATTGATCATCATAACTTATTTTTGAGCCACCCTATGCCAAGCTTTCGAAAATTTTCATTTTCTTCTTCAAGGCTGAAACAATATATAGTATATGAAACATTTTGTTACTATTCAATTCAACAAAAACAAGAACTTACTTGCAATGTGAGTTAAAAGGTATAAATTGGAATAATAATAATGAGTATAAAAAATATAAATGATGTAGACATAAAATTGATGGACAGTGACAGAAGTCATATAATTTATATACTGGAAGAAATGAAATTATGAAATTAGATTGTTGTTGAATATCTTATAAGGTAGAGTCATTTTGAATATCATCATGAACAGAAGATAACTTCAATAAAGTATAGTATACAGTGTGTCCCACTTACCATGCTCACCATGGGTATCTTTTTAACGGTGAGAGATACAAGGTCGGTTAAATGACACCAAATGTGGAGTTTGTCAAGGACAACTATAATGAGAGAAAATATTTTGATAAAATCTATTCGTTTTTGTTTTATACGCAAAAAACAGATTTTGATCATTTTCATGTCTCCTCTGTAACTTCTTTATTTATGAAAATATTCAAATAGGAATTTCACATTCTCATGGCAGTTTTTCAAAGTGATTTCGAAAAAAATATGAAATTTATGCCAACTCTTCTAGAATTTGAGATATCAGCACCAACTTCAATTTTTCGAATGTAGGTCGTAGCTCACTATGACTTAGTTACAAATAACTTCTTTTTCTCTTTCAGATGATGTGTCGCAGTAATAGTTTTGTGTTGATAACAACGGAGTTATCGTCATTTATACAAAACAAAATATTGTTTGGAAGCCGTCATCTTGAATTTATAAATTTAAACAAAAAAATCGTGATCTCCGACCTCAAAAACCCCCACTTACCAATTTTGAATGGAATCGGACCAAATCTTGTCCGCCATCTTGGAGCAGCCATTTTTTTAAAATGATGGCGGACAAGATTTGGTCCGATTCCATTCAAAATTGGTAAGTGGGGGTTTTTGAGGTCGGAGATCATGATTTTTTGTTGAAATTTATAAATTCAAGATGGGGGCTTCCAAATAATTTTTTGTTCTTGTATAAATGACGATAACTCCGTTGTTATCAACACAAAAATATTACTGCGACATATTATCTGTAAGAGAAAAAAAAGTTATTTGTAACTAAGTCATAGTGAGCTATGACCTACATTTGAAAAACTAAAGTTGGTGCTGATATCTCAAATTCTAGAAGAGTTGGTATAAATTTCATATTTTTTCGAAATCACTTTGAAAAACTGCCATGAGAATGTGAAATTCTTATTCGAATATTTTCATAAATAAAGAAGTTACGGAGGAGACATGAAAATGATCAAAATCTGTTTTTTGCGAATAAAACGAAAACGAATTGATTTAATATTTATATTTTTTCACATTATAGTTGGCCTTGACAAACTCCACATTTGGTGCCATTTAACCGACCTCGTATCTCTCACCGTTAAAAAGATACCCATGGTGAGCATGGTAAGTGGGACACACTGTATGTATAAATGAATCTACTACCATAAAAACGGCAGGAAAAAATAAAAATCGACCTGTCCGAGCGTTTTCCCAAGAAACACAGGCCTGAGTTTTAAATGAATTTGTTCCATAATATTGCCGCTCACTGTATAGGGTCTCTTATTCAAAAAATCAAAGATGTTGCTACTTTTCAATATAAGCGGCAACGTCGCAGTGTTGAGAATATGTCGATAGAACACAACTAATTTTCCAAGAAACCAAATTTTCAGTATAATCCTACGTTGCGTTCTCCACCGTGAATCAGCCCGTATTGCGTAGGTAGGTAGCTAGTTAGTTTTTATGCTGATTTAATTAATTTGGTCAAATATTTCATAACCTTTATAGGTTTGGATTAAAATAAGATTATTTAGAGTAAGGCGTGGGAAAAAATCTGTATATCGATATATAATTTCACAAATATCGATATATAATTTGAAAAATATCGATATATCGATAATAACTATCTATGTATCAATATCTATCAATATATCGATATTTATCGATTTATCGAATTTATCGATATATCGAACTTATCGAAATGTTTTGACTTATCAATAATCGATATGTGAAATCTAATATCGCGCAGCACTAATCAAAATAGTAGTTATGTCAGTGGATGACACATGATCATTCGATCATGTAATTGCATCTAGTGGCCTCAGAAATCCTAAAATGTCCCACTGACAAGTGTTGAAGGACAGAAAATCCCAAGACCACCTTTGGGGATTTTAGTGAATTGATTGTCAGCACATGAAGACAGTCTGTTTCGGTTTGCCAAGCCTCATCAGTTGCACTAGGTCAGCTAACAATCGATTCATAGGTGGGAAGGGCAATCTAGCCTTTAGAGACATATCTAGTAAAGGGCTTTCACGCTGGGTTGATAGTTGCGCAATACTTGGTAACAATGT